AGGGTTTCAAATCAATTTCATTCAATTCATATGCCAATTATTCATAATATCATGAGCTAAATCTGCCTATTGCAGGTCTTTCTTTAGGGCTGAAATGTTTTCTAAATTATTAATTAAACATAATTAACATATCCAGATCATATAATCAACTCTCGATGCCATCGCTAGCCTGCTATATTTAGTGGATTGGAATACATTTTGTGAAGGATTGATTAAACAATCTATTTTTTAACTATTATAGCGAGAGCTGTCAACTCTTTATCTAATCTCCCATAATGCCCCTTCAACTAATACATTGCTGGGAATTTCCAAACATCAATCCATAAGTACAGGGAAAAATTGACCCAATATTTTTCCCCCTTCATTTTATTGAATGAATAACAAATGAAATGGAGTTTAACATCCTACTGTTCTGCTCCTAACCTGGGCTAATGAAGACGGGCATACGCCATACAGTGTGCTACAAGGGAAATTTTGCCCGGACAGCGGCACTACGGCCTACTCTTATATCGAATTCCAACTGCCAAGGGATCTTTTACGTGCACGCCAATGTGTACACGGGACCTCGGTTTTTCGTCCCATCCGAACGACTAGACAGCTTTCCTTGTCAGCCCCTCCGTCCTGCATCACTGACAAGGGAGAACCATGCCGGAAAATCTGGATGAACTTTCTCGGCCAATGCAGGGATCGATCACCCGACCTCCAGGCTAGCAAGCTAGCGTCTTACACACTTGAATGAATAACACAAAAAAAAGAAGTCGTGTAATATTACCAGGTACTTCTGTTTGTGTTTATATATTCGGAGATATGAATTTGTGCATTTTGTTTCTCATATTTTCATTGTTTAGTACAGAATTGATAACATGCACAATGGACAAATATTGAAGCATTCTAAATTGAGAAATGAAATGGGGTTTAACGTTCTACTGTTTTGCTCTGAACTGGGCTAATGAAGGCGGGCATACGCCATAAAGTGTGCTATGAGGGAACTTTTGCCTGGACAATGGCACTACAGCCTACTCTTATATCGAATTCCAACTGTCAAGGGATCTTTTACGTGCATGCCAATGTGTACACGGGACCTCGTTTTTTTTGTCCCATTCGAATGACTAGACAGCTGTCCTTGTCAGGCCCTCCGTCCTGCATCACTGACAAGGGGGAACCACGCCAGAAAATCTGGATGAACTTTCTTGGCCAATCCAGGGATCGAACACCTGAACTCCAGGCTAGCGAGCCAGCATCTTACCCACTTAGTCAAAGTGAGTCCCTTTTTAAATTAAGATACTCTTTTGTGCTTTTAAAATTTACTCACAATACATGTTTACATTTTAAATATTGCTTACCAGTTCAATTTGTTGAGCAATTTTGTGTTGGTTGATTTTAGTTCAATTCTAATTAGAACTGTTAACATTTTAAAATATACTGATTACACTAATAATGTATTAATGATCTTATATATGTAATATGTTAAAAGGCTGGAATCATGAAGGTTGTTACAAATCTAAAAAAAAATCTAAAAGATATACATGGTTAGGAAAAAAAAATAATACACTTTTAAGTCATGCAAATAACCAAATGACTATAGATATAAATATTCAGCATACAATGGATAAAATAGATTTTATTCTTTGAAAGATTTAAAAATAATAATTAATCAACTATTGAAGAATTATAGTAAATTATTAGTTCTAAATCTGGCTTCTTTATATTCCTCCATAAAAAATCTATGTCCAATATAACCGTGTTTTATAAAATGGGCATTTTAAAATGTTTTTGTAAATATGCTGCTTTAGAAGAAATTATTCTTTTGTATCTTTACTTTTTAAGTAACCTATTTTTTTGTCATTTGATCAGGAAAATTAGGCCAAACGAGTTATATATATTTGTGGTATACATTTATGAGAAATTAGAAATATAATTGAATCAAACCACTTTATTTTCACTAGGTTGACCGTCAGCAGACGGTTCTTCTTCTATACTTTGAACAGGTGTACTTCTGCTGGCTTCAACAACTGTTGCTTGAGAAGAGGAACTCCCTGAAGAGTCAGGAGAACTTTCTGCTACTGTAGCTACTGGTGTTGGTGTTGGTTTTGGTAGAGATGTTGGTGCTGGAGGACTAGGTGATGCTGCTTGAGTGAAAGTTGACTGGCTAGATGTAGCTTGAGATAAAAGTGTAGTAGTTGTAATAGGATGTGACTGTTTCAGTATCAGCTCTGGTCCACCACCATAAATTTTAAATAGATACTGCCAAGTTTCACCAGACAGTTGTCCATGGTCAGAGGTTTGCTTCAGAGTCTGTACACCATTTTTCATCACAGTTATTCTACTATTATCAATAGGGCCAGGTGGACCTGAAGAAAAAAAACCACATTTGATTTATCCTAAAGGAGCTAAACTTCCTTGATTTATGTCAAAATAAAGGAGCAATTTTAAAATCTTATATGGAAAGATGACACATTAAAACATTTGTTTTAAAGTTTGTTTTTCAATAGTGGATAAATTTGATTTCAGATATACCATACAACCATATTCTACCTGTTCTACACAAGATTGATTAAAACTAAGTATGTGTATATAATCTAGACATAATCTATAAACATACAATACAAACTATAACTTACAATCAGTTCTATCTCGTACAAAATTCTCCCAGTCTTTAAACCATGACATACTGATAGCATATATAACACTAGGATTGTCTTCTGCTTTAAATTCTTCATTTAACTATAAAAAAAAATCATTGTTTTAATTTCACTAAAATATAAATATACCATGTACTATATATCAACTGTAAAGTCATAGAATGTAATAAATATCAACCACAACGACATACAACCTATAATCTTACATAAATAAGTAACTGGTTTTATGCTGGTTAGTACCGGTACTTTCTCAGACTTTTTATGATAAAAAATGTCAAAGACTTTCACCATGTGTTGGAAGTAAGTATGCAAAACTGGTGGACTGTAGCAAATATTTAGTACATGTTACCCTACATGTACTGTATATGCGAACAGTCAGTTACAATATATACGCAATTATACAATTTGTTAAGACCAGGGTTCTTAATCCATTTTGAAACGAACCGGCCAGAATTGGGTCAAATGAGGTCCCGTAGGAAATGGGTTAATTATAAGCTACATTTCCTTTAATATACGGTAACTAGACTTCAACAAAAATAATTCTTGGTAATTTGATATGGAAAATGTCGTATTTTTAATGTATGTTATTGCCACAAAAAAACAAAAAACGACAGGTACACATATTTAATTCAAGTACCAGCTTGAAGTTAACGTCAGTTATATTCCTGAATAAATCACTGTCTTCGTTTATTTGATGAAACGTTTGCGTTTCATAAGTCGATGATCTAATATTTTAGCATTTTTCTACTATTGCCAGTATCAGAAAATGCAGTAGCCAAAATAAGCTGATATGGCACCATGGCATTTCTTCAAAACACAATTTGTAGTTTTTTGTCTATCACGTAGCTAGTCACATAACTTGCAAAAGTTTTTATTCATTTGTCGATGAAAGACAAACGGCACAATTGTCATGTGACAACCATAATTGAAATTGCTATAAAAATAAAAAATTCCGTACAATTATGATACAGCCTTCAATAAAAACAACAATATTTTTAAAATTAAGCTTTTGTAAGAATGTGTATAAAATAAAACCGGCGGCTGCCAGGCAGGAAAATCATAATGGTAAACACTATTTAAAACCGGTTTATTGACCTAATGTCATTGGAATTCGGCATTGGAGATTCTATCAGAGAAATATATTATTAATGACTGTTTTTCGGTGCATTCCGTGTTCTATCAGGAGATTATATTTAATGAAGATTTAAATTTACCCAACAACTGGTCAGTGAACCCATCAATGTATGATCCAGTTATTATTTTAATATCTACCGGTACCTGGAATTCATGCCGATATTGTCTTCTTTCGCCACGTGCGTTGGACGGGTGACCCTACTCTGTGTCACGTACAAGTGGAGAATCGAAACCATGCCACTTGACTCAATGACAGACCTTTCACGCACACGAGTTAAACCACCCAACCCACCGTCAGAGTGGAGACAATTTGGGTGCGTACAATTAAAACTAGTTGAATATTAATGTTAAACAATATGGAAGAAATAGAAATCTACCTGTATAAATGTATCCATCTCTGTTTTTTGTCGTAATCTAATATTATCTAACTCCAGTTGACATGTTTGACAAGCGTATAATCTATTACATACTGGTCCTCCTTCAAACCTGATCAAATATAACATTCACATCATACAAACTACATACAGAGAAAGTATCAAATAACTAATAAAAGAGGAAGAATGAAATGGAATTTATCATCTTGTCTACCCTTTACTTTGGTGAAATATATGGGGAATACAAGTGCAATGCGAGGATAGACTGTTGCCGTCATTTATGATTGCTCTTTCTCGAATTCCAACTGCAAAATGATTTTTTATGACCACTACCAATCTGTACATGGAACACAAGTTTTTTGTCCCATCCAAACGTTAAAGTACACAACAGCCAATAAATAAAAGCATATCTTGTACATTTCTGATAAGTTATCCCCTCCCTTGAGGGTTGGGGAAATAATTACTGAAGGCAATCAAACATACTGAAAACTCAGGAGAAAAAAGTGATTTTTACATATTTTCTGTCATATTTCAAATAAGGGTCCCAGGAGATGTTTTCTCATTTAGCAAGAGCTGGTTATATATGAAAATTATTTATTGTATTACTCCACATGTTGTCCGTGTTACTAAGCAGAGAGAATTTAGAATATTTGACAGAACTTTATTTTACAATCTTGAGATGTAATCGACGACCACCATGAAGATAGATTGAAGAGATAAATAACTAACCTGTTATATAGATATTCCCACATAGATTGACTAAGAGGAACAACTAAATCTTCTACATGATCAACTAGATTAGGCGGTACTCCTATAAAATATATAATAAAATATATAATGTATTTTATTCTCAAACTACATCATCATCTAGATTAGGTAGTAATCCTATAAAATATAAAATAAAACAAATCATATAATAGATAGAACTCAATGACCATTAAATATCGCTCGGGTTATTCAATGGTTCAAGAGAGTGTATCCCTATGGCAGGGATACACTCAAGTGAACCATTGAATAACCCGAGCGGTATTCAATGGTCATTGAGTTCTGTTTTTATTCTATAACTACATTAAATCTCAAAATACACTGTACTATCCAGATTATCAAAAACAAAATCACCAATAAAGTTAAAATTCATCATAGGTTCTGCCCTTTCTTCACAAAAATTGTGGTTGCTAGTGGTGACGTCATTACAGTTTGACTAATTCTGAAAGTGATGTCATTATGGACAAAAGTAGTATGTGTACAAGCTATTGAATACAATCATAGGTTATTCAATGACTGTATTCAATGATATTTGCTTGTATTTGCATGTAGTTACAGAATAAATTTTGTTCTCAAACTAAATGATCAACTACATTACATGGTACTCCTAAAAAATATATAATAAATCTGATAATATATTTTATTTTTAACTACATGATCAACTAGATTTGGTGGTATTCCTAAATAATATATAATAAATCAAATAATATATTTCAATCTCAAACTACATGATTAACTAAGTTTTTTGTTTATATTCAATAATTAATATTTTACTAGACTCAATTTTAGTTACATAACTTTTTACAAGTTTTATCAATTTATCTTTTTCTTTGTTATATGTAAGACCACAATGATAACACAGCCATTCAAATCACATCATAACACCGTCTACTGAATTACGGTCAGTGTTATATGCAGTCGAAGTTAGCCATCTGAATAGCAGTTGTTCTGAATATAGTTTAAATCTTATTTAGCCATCTGAATAGCAGTTGTTCTGAATATAGTTTAAATCTTATGGAGTGTAGAATATCAGAACCATAAATACAAAATAAAGATTATATATTTTAATTAGTTTGGTATAGGTCTTTCTTTTACATAACTAAACATCTCATTAAAACTGCACAATAAAACACTAGGGTGTAACAGTTATATATTCAAACGTTTTTTTAAATCAGACAAGCTAAAAACACGATTTTGTGTACAATCAAGGCCCATAATTCAGGAAGTTACGATCCGATGTGCGTGAATATCGAAAGGAACCAAGATCTTTGGGTTATAAAGATGTATTTCAAGTTTCATCAAAATCGGATCAAAATTGTGTTCCTAGAGTGTCCACAAGCTAAAAACGTGATTTTTCGTACAATCAGGGGCCATAATCCATGAAATTTCAATCCAATACATGCCAATATCGAAAGGAACCGAAATCTTTTGGAGATAGACCTATATTTCAAGTTTCGTCAAAATTGGATAAGAATTGTGACCTGTAGAGTGTCCACAAACAATTGTTTAGGGACAGACGGATGTCTGGACAGGGGAAATGACAATATACATCCACATGAAAATGTGGGCGTATAAAAATTCAGATATCCAATAACAACTGTTTTTATAAAACAAATTGTGGTCGGACACCGAGCAGTAAAGTTAATGAATTCTGTTCCTTCAATCTGTTGTATTATACCTGAAAACAAGTTGCAGTGATTTAACTCTAAATGAGAAGATATTATGAGAACACTATGCTTACCTCCATGAGAACAAAGGAAATCATTGTTAGTTATTGGACCTGGTTCAGCAAACGTATTAAATTTACTAATCCATTGTTTGGATACAAAAAACTGCATCAAACTTGGCTAAAAGAAAAGATGTATGATTTATACAAATTGAAGCTGAATATATAACAGATGAGTAATTTATTGATGATAGTTGGTAATATGAGAGAGAGAGAAATTGGGATTAATATCCACTTGATAGAACCTTGGTGCAATTTTATTTCAATAGTTTGGTCTTAGCAGTGGGAGAAAACCCAAGAGGCTGGACATGCGACCCTACCCCTTGTCATGTAGAAGCTGGAATTGAAACCACACCACTTAACTCAATGACAGACCTTATGGTGTAAAGTACACAGGTCAAACCATTCGGTCACCCAACCCCCGATAGTTGATTATAATATAGTTATGTAAAGAGTTTAAAACCAAATAGATTTAAACATACTTCTGATCCAAACAATCAATTCTGACCATTTGAAGTTAATAATTATTTCTATTCATTTCACATTGACATCTTTTTTTTGGTTAGATGAAAACAATAATAATAATGATTTAGCTATCTATTTGTACAAGTCAGTCCATTTATCATGAAGCATATTTCCTTAATTACATGAGAATGATTTGACTTGTGTATTTCAATTATTATAACATAGATTAAACATTTACCTCCTTAGCTTCCATTAATTCCATGGCTTTCTGGCGTAAAGCATGCATCTTATCATTTCTCTTCCTATAAAATATCAACAAATTAAATATTTCAGTCTAAAATAACTGATTTTTACTGGATAAATGGTTTTCACTTCAACAGGATTTTTGGACCTTCTTTCAATCTTTCTTAGCAGCTAAAAGTGTTAACAATACTGCAAAGTTTACGAACTCTGTCGAATTACTTACCTATAGAATAGAACATATGCTTCACAATTAACTACTTGTTGTATATCAACTTCTGTTACAACTTGATCATCAAATTCATACCATTTTTCATTTATATAGTTTAAACAATACGCTGTATAATGACCACCTTTAAACATCAAATAATATAATAATTATACTATATAGAAATATGGAATAGGTGTAGAGACTGGATCATAGCCCACGAGCGGCAAAGTTGTCCATGCTATGATCAAGAAGAAAATAAGATCTCACAAGATTTCATAAATTTAAAATTTGAATGTAATATTGTAAACTGATAGGGATGTGATGGGGGTGTGTGTGTGTGTGGGGGGGGGGGGGGAGAGGTGATCTTTATGATTAATCCCTATAAATTTGAAAGATATTCACTATAGCAGGGTATATGATAAGATATTGGATATTTAAAAAATAAGTGCTGATCAATCTGAAAATTGATTAGCAGTTACTCTTGATTGAGTAGCAAATAAGTAAATTTTATAGGCCATAATTTCTACATATTTACATCCGTAATATTCCTAGAAAATCAGGTTTTTCGTAACACGATAGAATGCAAAATTAGTATGTCTTCATTTACACGGCAGAAAATGAAAGCAAAATATCTGTGATAAGAAAAGTTTGTGATGTCGAAACATTTGTTTGTCTTCCTTATAAAACGATATTTCAAAATTACATAGTAGCATCGACAGTTCGATACCCGTATGCAATCCATACATTGTCGCTATGTTGTTGTTATTTGTCCACGTGACTTTTTTTCCTGCCAAAATGAACCAAGTGCCATTTTAGTCACAAAGTAGTTAGATCGTAAACTGAATGACTGTTAAAATGTTAGCTTACAATTAGTTTATTGACTAATCTTTGACTACTTTTAATCTCATCGAGCAACATCAAGGGGATTAAAATGTACGTATGCAGTGGAACGGTAAATCACGTTTGTTAAACATTTTTTCACGCTTAGTTTGAGACAAAAAACTTGATTCGCAGATTCCCTTAAATTTGATAATTTTCTGCTAATTTAATATTTGCTTTGCACTTACGTCGTTTTTGTTTAGCAAATTGCGATGCGATACCGCTTATCATATTCCCTGCAATGTTGAACTCTGACCAATAGAAATTTTGTAGACGGTTTGATAGGCAACAGTTATGTGTAAACAATAACTGCCAGTGTATAAAAATGTTGATCAAATGTTTTATACTCGGACCACAAAGCAATTCCAACAACGCCAAACATTCTGGACTATCAATCAATGTGTGAATCACAGTATTTAAAAGATAATAATATAAATATACTGACCACCTGCTGTACCATGATGACATATAACAGCAGTTAAATCATATGTTGTTACTTCATTATTACAATCTACAAATATATCAACCATTGTCATTATCTACTTGGATAAATTTTCATCATAAATTTAATAAGAGTATGGAAATAATGAGTTTGGATGGAAATATCTTTTCTTAAACTGAAATAAATCCCCAAACCCACCAAAATTCCTAAAGGTATATATTTATATAAGGTTGTGCAAGCAACTGGTCAATTTAATATCAATCCATTACCAAGATTTATCTGTTGTTTTTTTTTGTAGTCAACGTTTAACCAAAAACCAAAGGTTTTCAAGATACAGATACATTAAATTAATATACATACCTTTGTGTAGGTAATGCTTCATATCCAAACCTTCCAACGGAAAGGCAACATAGGCACCAATCTTAGAGGAGTAGAATTCATGTCGAAATCTTTTTAAATGGATACACAGTATCTGCAAAAAGATTGAATAATAACATTTCTTTTAGCTTTGTTCTTTTATCATGAACAAATACAATCAATTTTTCAATGCTATAAGAGAAACAATTCTACATTTCTACAAATTGAATATCAGTGTATGAAGATGGGTTCATTATAATATTTGATTTCTGTTCATTATTTAATGGTGATCAGCCATTTCTTTGTGGTATTTGCAGGGGGCTCTTGTATGTTCAAACTAGATTTCAAACTATCTAGGAGATTGAATAAGTTAACATACAATTCGTTCAATTAGAAATCCTTATCCCATATATCTTCAATATCAGTCCTTGTGGCTTTTTAAAATGATATCTTACCTCGGGCAACTCTAGAACTCTTGAATATTTTAAGCCATTTCTTAACCTAAAAATCAAATAGATATATTAATTGATAATCATGGTAAGAGAGAGAGAGAGAAAAATGGGGTTTAACGTCCACTCGACACAAACTAGGTCATTTTGGGACTAACATATGGTTTAATTTTATTTCAATAATTAGCTTGCGCGTTGGGGTCTTTAGCAGTGGGAGGAAACCGGAGGACCCGGAGAAAACCCACAAGGTTCGACAGACGACCTTACTCCTTGTCACGTACAACCGGGGGTTCGAAACCACGCCAGTTGACTCAATGACAGGCCTTATGGTACAGCGCCCACGTGCTAACCATTCAGCCATCCAACGTCCCATCATGGTAAGAAGGACTATTATTTAAGTGTAGGAATATAGACCATATAGTGCAGTCTATAGACACAATTTTTAGGTTATTGTATAGGTATATATAAAACAGGGTAAACTGACATGTTCATACTGTATGATGAATGTCAGATTTGAACTTACTTTTTACATTTTTCACAGCTATACATATTATCACCCTTCAGTTCATCAGCTGAGAAAAATGCTGCCAAACAGTCCTGTAGTGAAATAGTTGGTCCAGTGAAAAAACTGAAAATAAAAAAAAAATTTAACGTCTCAAATTCAAGAGTTAGTTAATCTACATATCATTTATTTCATGGTTGTGACGTTCTGGTTTGTAGAAGACATCAGCTTTCTGCAGTTAAGATGTATAAACATAACCAATTTGATTTTTCCTATAGAGAGAAGGAGAGAAATGGGGTTTAACGTCCACTCGACACAAACTAGGTCATTTCGGGACTAACATATGGTTTAATTTTCTTTCCATAAATCGTTTGCGCCTAAGGTTCTTTAGCAGTTGGAGAAAACCCATGAGATTGGGATTTTTCCTATGCAGAACTCGTTAAAAAACAGCGTGAGAAATATGATCAGCAGCCTGTCCACTGTATTAGGCCGTAAGAAAAAACAATTGTGGTTCTCAGATGATCCTTACCAAAATTTCTGATGCGGGAGGGAGGTTTTTATTTTTGTCAACTTATCACTACAGGGCTAAATGGCTTCTCATAAACATCTTGTTTGAAGTCACTACATTTATATTATTTTGCTGTTGAATGTATGATTATCCCATGTATCATTTCTGACTGTCAAATTTTTACACGTGGCAATTAATGAGATCATTTTTGTTTATTGAACTAAAAACAGGCCTTCGGCTCTTTTATAAGTGATGGAGTATCTGAAAACAAGAACATTTTTTATTTGGCCTTCTGCAAAGCGTGAAATATTACTGACAATTTTAGACTATAAATACCTTTTCATCCAAGAAAGAACCCAAGTAATCCATCCTGGGTTGACCTCACCACATGCACCACCTTTAGGTACAACAGCTCCAGATAGACCTGATTGGCTTGTATGTAACAACTGTAAATGATCTCGACTTGGTATAGGTAAACTTAAATCTTGAAATGTTTCTTTTGTTGTCGATATCTAAAAGAAAATGAAAACATAAAGATTGTAAATAAACCACATTAAAATATCTGGTAACAACAAAATATCTTGGCAAAAACTGGAACAGTTTCAAGCATTAATAATAGGCCTAAGCAGTGCTCTAAGATTTTGAAAACCAGGTAATATGACTGAACATCATTATAAGTTAGATTCTTTAGTAAACATGAGAATATCACGCAACAACTTAACTCTATTTATTACGAAAATATCTCAACCAATATCACAACAGCTGAAACAGGTTCAGCACATAGGACTACAAAATAATTCTACTCACATGATATCCTTTACTAAGTCTGACAATTCTAATAATTGTTTGGTGTTATAAATTAGATAGCAATGTGAAGTGCTTTAATCTTATTTATTTAAAGTGTTCAATTCTAAGTCTGTTACATGTTACTGTGGATATATTCTTTCAAATTCTGAAGTTTAACGTTTTTCTCCAATACATCTAATACATACCCTTTCACAAGTTAAACACTGAACAGAACTTAATATTCTACCATCAAACGTATCTGATATAACACTTTGATACTGTATATTCTTTTTTCTTTTACCTTTAAATAAATTTAAATTAACACAGCTTTATTACAAACTACATGCATTAATACAAGACATATTTTTAAAAACGATTGAAAATATGCTGATTAGGTATTCCTCGTCAGTCATCCGAAAAGATAGCCCAGACAATATATTAAAGAGGCAGAGACATTGGTGGTTTTAGGATCTTTGCCGGTAGGTTAAAAATAATATGGTCCATGATTACATCCATGTTCAATATAAATTATATAAAAAATCTGAGACACATCTGTCAACTCTAAGTATATTGGAGCTTGGACATTTGGTACATGTAATTATGAGAGTTAAAGGTTATTTATTTGTGTCAGCAATAATGTCATTTTTACTTATTGATCTTTATTTGTATGCATTGTAACTCCTTCCTTCCATTATTAGCGTTAAATGTGTGAATCACTTGGATCATGATCTGAATGAGGTTACATCTGATATATAGCCGACAGTATGTGATTTTCTAATTGGCTCGTACTGATTGGGAAGAATATTCGGGGTGAAATCAATGTCTGACAAGCTGTCACTTTCTGGCATGTTTTTTTTTAAAGTGTACCATACAGTAGGTTCCCAATCCCAACTGAATTATGAAATTCCAATTCCTCTTACAAAATCCCTGTCTCAGGGAAGGTTGATACATATTCTTCCAAAATATATTTTAAAAAAGATAATTTTTTGCAAAATATTTTTTTTATTGAACATTATACCTAACATTATGAAATTTTTTTAATCGTATCAGTCTAGATGAAATTATATCAAATGCAAACAATGCTATTTCATATAAATAGCAATCTCTATAGGTAGAATATACATTGAATTATGTTAAATGAATGAAGATGCTATTATTTTTGGGTCATAAGACAGTAAAGATGACCATTTTAGTAAATATAAAATGTCTCTTTTGAATTGGACAGACGCATGGCACATTTATTTTCCTTTCAGATATTAACTGTTGCTTATATATATTAATAATTTTCTTCAAAAGTTTAATGTAATAATACATTATCTAAATCTGAAGTTTCATGGGATATGATTAACAAATTAATTTTTAATTTAAAAATTAATTGCATTGCTAATGTTACATGTGGACAGACATTCTGGCAGATTTGTAACATTAGCACTAAAGTTTGAAGAAAATTTCTATTTCTAGCTAGTGTTGATGTAAGAAGTTACTGAGATTTTTTACGTGCTAAATAAAGCATAATATTCAGAATTTAAGATTAATATAATAAAATATAATCATATATTTTAATAACCTAAAATTTAAACATTTATCGGGCATGCAACTGTTGCTAACGTTACATAAGGACAGACGTGGACATTTTATAAATAACTGTATTACTTGAATTATTGTTTTGATCTAAAAATAAAAATAGTCCGCAACGAAAGGTATTAATAAATTGTATAGTATTTCTACCCTTGGGCTTGTTTTAAATTTAAAATCGGACAAAAAGTATTTCAAAAGCAGGTGCTAACGTTACGTAAGGACAGACGGTTTATTTAATCGGTCTGACAACTGACACGTTAGCACTTTTTTGCGGGGGTCAAAGTCATTTTGATCGAGTGAATAAGGCGAGAATGCTGACCGCCATGTTTATGCATCGGGAATCGGATAGCCGGTTTTCTTTTCTAAAGGCTGTAAAAAACGTGATATATTTTGAGTAAATAACGCCGTGAAAGGCGAATTAGTGCAGCTAACGTATCAAGAGTGCTAACGTTAACATTTTCGGACAGACAACTGTAAAAATGGCATAATCAATCGACTGCCTGTCTCAAATTATCCGTATCCTGTGTGGAAGATCGAGACTACATTCACGCTTCGTTTGCAGCGGTTATTCAAATTCTATCACGTAATATGAAGCCGAAAAGAAATATTAAAATAATGCTAACGTTTCGCTAAAACTGGACAGACATCAATTGGACGAAACGTTAGCAATATATAAGCATGGAAATTTGATTTTCCAAACCATTTTCCTGCTTTTTTTAAATGGCATATACTAAAACATAAACAGCCATTCCACAAATGGACAAATTTATTTCCACGTGACGTAAAAATACAAAGTTTACAAAACAAATGTAAGACCACTTCAATGATGTAGTCGATGGACAGACTAGTCAAATTTTCACTGGGGTTTGAACAATTCAATTTTCGGAACTTGTTATTTTTCTCATCAGTATATTTTTAAGTCTGTTTTAATTTTAAAGAAGATACACTTGCCATTATAATTATACAAAAATAAATTAAAAATTTTAAAACAAATGTTATTTCAGTGTATTCTAAAATCTTGATAAAAAATGATGGGAAAAATGTCTGTCTTAAATGATGTAATTCATTAAAATATTTGTAACCTTTTTTAATAAAAAAAATACATCAATAAACCTGGTATTAAGTATTTTATATGTTCAATATATGCTGATTTTGAAGATAAGAAAAATATTTAAAAACTCTTTTCTAATAAAACCATTACATTTGTTAGATACCCACTGGTACACTTTATAATAAAACATGCCTTCTCCTGATGCCATATTGAAATATACAGCGACTGCTACACACGAGTCGCCTCTTATGTCATGTCACGTGATTTAGCTTCAGCTCATTAATTGTCGGGTGTTCTGTTATTGCTGAAATCCGAAAGTGTTTTTTAACGTTATTTGTTACTAAAACTTTTTTTTTGAAAAAAATAATTCTGAAATCTGTTAAACAATCAACCAAGTAAATGGTAAAATTAAACTTTTACTATAGCATTCTCCTTTAATACCAGTACTACTTGGTGATGAATGGTTAATTGTACCAGAGTATTGTACATGGGAATATCAATTTTTCCTGAATTCTGGGGAATAGAAAGGGGGATTATGTTATATATGGCAGTGTATTGTACATGGGTTATTATGATTGTATTTATTTGTAAAAGAACAAATAATGAAATACTGTTTCTATTTCATTGTATGAAATGTAATTTATCAATTTATATTTTTACATGTTTTTAGCCAAGATTGTGTAATTACATGTTGGAAAAGAGATCTTAAATTTTTACCAATATAAATACCTTTGGTTGTGGTATTTGGTTGATGATGAGTTTTAACTGATTGACTTTTATCACCGCCAGCTCCATGCTGCGTCTGCTTCCCAATAATACTTGCTTTTGATGACCTTAAACTTGATGTCGATGATCCCAGATCTGATACTGCATCAATAAATTCACCAGATTCACTTTTATTCAGATGTTTTTTCCGAAGTTCACCTTGACCTTTGGCTAACAAATTAGCTGTTTCTTTTGTGTCCTTTACATTAGCAACAGAAATGTCTGAGTTATCATAGATTGAGCGCACATTATGGCGGTTTTTATCCCGACCATGTTTGTTCAAATTTTGTCGTGTTATTTCATTACCATCACTACCTTCATCTTCAGAGAAATTATGATCACCGGAGTTACGTTCACTACTCAAACCAGAGTCACATGTTTCGTATTCACAATCTGATTGGCTGCTACCAGAATCTGTGGATGGCTTGCGTTCTTTAGATGTTGTTGTTGTGGAATAATTTACAGGCAGTTGTGTATTGTCGGTGATGTCGTCTTCTTCTTCTTCATTATCACAAATTGGTTGTTTTAATTCTTCATGAAGTTGATCCATAAAACATCGTAAAAACTCTTGTGTGTCCTATAACACAACAAAACAACATCAATTTCTATATTCAAATAAGCATGGCTTGCAGTCACCCTTCTTTTTTGGTGGACAGTTCATCTAAAGTCTTATTTCTAGGCCGTTTGTGAACAGAATTTGATGAAACTTGGCAGGAATATTTAGAGGCAATATTTTGACTTAGGCCTAAGAAAATGACCCATTTAGGCCATTCACCTTTCAAGCAATGTTTCTCTCTCAGCTGTTCATGACCTCAACTTAATGAAGCTTGCTGGAAATCACAGGGTATTTTAGATCGAGTCGAACTTGTTACCAAAAATGAGATGCCTGGCACACAAGTGAGCACATTAAGTGCTTTTTGTTTGTGACAGGCATGATTAAACACCAGCATTTGTTTTCCATAGCAGTGAACTTATAATAACCAAGCCAGTATTCCCTAATAATCCAATTTGTATTACAGTTTTGGACTATTATACACATATCACATTACAAAGATATCTATACGAATTTGAAAGTTCCGAAAATGTTGAAATATTTTACCTGCTGAGTACATCCTCTAAACATCGGATGGACAACTTTAATACCATTTACAACTCCACTTGGTACAACATAACTAGGTCTGTAAAATAAACAACACAATTACAAAAATTATCTTCACAACTCAACTTTATTCTACGTATGTAAGATAAAATGGAGGCCGTCAAACGTATAACGACTATCTTTATTATCTATCAAAAACTATCTATCAGATAACAACACGAATAAAACAAACCTCTTTTTATGCCATAGTTCTGTAATAAGACGCAAATAGTTTCGTGATAAATGAGGTGTTTTTTCTGGTCTTACACATCCGGAACAATCTAAAAAGAATCTGGTTAATGGTGGACTGAAATAAAATGAAAATTAATTAAATCTAAAGGCAAAGAGATTTTTACCATGTTAATCTATGGATAACTAACTTAATAAGCAGAATTTGTGAAAGAGAATAACCAGCCTGTACTTTGAATATGTCACTTTGGGATTAACATCACATATTTTTCAGAACATAAAAGAGACAACAGTGAACTGTGATCCTTACATTCACATCATGGACTTACAAGTTAATTTGCAACTATGTTAAGAATAGAAGAGCATGACCGTCTTATCTGTGAAATGAATATAGGACTATAATTAAATATTTTAAACTTACCAATTAGATAAAGCTTGTAAAGCAGCATTCATATAACATGTATTACCAAGATTCTGTAAACCAGTTAATCCTGTAAAAGTAAACATAATTTTATGTCTGGCACCGTAAATCACAAAACGACTTGCATTTCATTACTCCACAAACTTTTACAATATTGAAATCAGTAAGTAATTATACCTCACCTTTGATTATTAACTCAAAGTAAACTCTATAAAAGATGCCATACTTGCTGCAGAATACTAACGATAGTCAGAAACGCTTCACTATCTGACAGGAAAAGATTGAATTGCATAAATGCTGAATAACAAACCTCTTGGTTTAATAGTTTCATCATCCAAATCAGATTCTGAGTCTTCATAGTTAGAAAAACTTCTTTGTGGTGAGCTGTCATTAGAATTATCTCCTGATTTAGTTGTATTAATAGGTGTTGTCTGGCCATTGCCACTTATACTGTAATTAAATAATCATTTATTTTTATATATATAAGAGTGAAAGAACTATTTAAAAATAGATTTTATACTCTTATAATTACCCTCTACACATTTACTAATCTTTGATAATAATCTACATCTATTAAGAAATCTCCTTTTTTTAAGTTTACATTAAAATGAAAAGGTTATTTTTCTTGACTGTTGTTCAGTTGAAACTAATTAAAATTTTCTGTTTGTTTTTTTTTATTTCTAATGGTGGTATGCAGGATTTGTGTCAGATATACATAATTTACCTTTTTGGTGCCAAAATATTAGGCACATCATACTTGAAATATTGATTTTTACAATAAAATTCAATTGGAGAGTAACTGAAATGTTTTTTGTTGTTTTTTTTAAATGAAAATAATTACTTTTCCAACACTCATTATTTTTGGAATCTTCCATTAATCATAACATGACCATTACTATTGGAATCTTCCATTACTTATAAGATGAACATTACTATTGGAATCTTCCATTACTTATAAGATGTCCATTACTTCAAAACATATAATGATTAGATTCTATTACCATTACCCCAAACCTGATAGCAAATGGGCATTTTATCCAAAATATTTATAAAATGAGGATAGCAATGGAAACTATCTAAATGGGTAATTCACTGAAAAATAATTGTGAGTTGAAGAAGTACTCTGCTCTTACTAAAATGGTGGATTATTATGATCTGGAAAAACTTCACATTCACAGGAATTACACCATATTCTTAAAGTCATCAAGTTGATGGTCAAACTATGATTTCTTTCCTAAAAAATGTAAAAAAATTTATATAATGACAGTAATGTGTACCCCAATATATAATCAAAAGATATGGGTAGCTAGTTGAAAGTACTGATACTGGGTATTTTTCTCAATAAATTGTAAGGATTTAACCACTGATTAAGCCAAAACTGGTAATTTTAGAAGCCATTTTTCAACATTGGACAGGAAGAACAAATTACAATGTAAGCTCTAATGTTACAAATTAAGATGTCAAGGGGTGAGTACATTATGTGACATACCTTATAATGATGCAAACTGTGGTCTGCTACCTTCTCGCCACAACCAACATAGTGACAGTCTTTATACAGACATAACCACAGATGAGGTGGATGAGCATCACATGAATCACATTCTTCAACCTAAAATTGATAGCATAGTGACATGTAGATAGCATTAACAACAACGTATATCTACTGTATCTAACCAACCTTTTATTCATTTTCTTGTAAAGACAATCCCAAAACTCAATTATGGTGTGTTTTCTTTTTCAATCTTTTCAAAGTCAAACTGGTACATGTACCATTACAAATCTCCTACATCAGGTTGCCATGCAATCAAGAATATTGATGGGGTATCGTATATTTGTACAAAAATGCATTTTTTCTGGTACATGTTTCTAATGAATATGTGTGATTTTCTTATGATCTGATGAACCTGACAGAATGTTCAAGATCGGTACTGATTGAAAATCTCTTTCAGCTTTAGTATTAAAACAGGTGCCTGAATTTGATAATCTCACCTAATTAAATAACGCAATAATTAACATAATACTTTAGCCTCAGCTTAATGTTATTTTTGAAGGATTTTCCGTGTTACAGGCAGTGTCATATTACAAAATATTAGGTCTTACGCCCTGTTTTTGTTTTAACTGTTCCCAGCTGACATCTCCTACTGTACCAACATGGATACAATTAGATACTTTACTGTTACTGCTAGAAGGCATTTTCCATTCTTATCCAACTAAAAAGAAATAAATACAAATGTTATGATACATGTATATGAATTAAGGAAAAAGCTACGGGGTCCATTCTGCTCACTGAAAATTTTGAAAAATGGGTTTTATTTGCTGAATTCTGGGGTACAACTGTACCGTACATTCTGGGTGATAAACACAAGAATCTCCCTGTCTCATTCATCTAATGCAACTTTTCATCCAGTCCTTCACATTTACGAAATGGTATGGAAGCCATAAAAAAAACTCCCCCCAATTTCAAATATGTGAAAAAAGCTCAAATAAAAAACAACTCATCTTACTTAATTATGGTATATTACTGAGTAATTCTACATTTTCTTACATGGAGGAGCAAAACTCACACTGGCTTACAAATTTTTTCTGTCAAAATGGATAATAATTTTTATATACAAAAATGTTTATATTTTTTTTCTGTCAACTGGAATATTTTATCTGCCAAAAATGTGTGATAAAAAAGACAACATAGAACATTTTCATATCTCAGACAGGCCTATTATAAAATAAGTACGGATATAATTAAAACATCCAATCATCCATCTTTATATAATACATAAGCCCAGTTTTAGGGCTGGCAATCGATCCTGTTTCAAGTATTGATTATCGCCGACCATCCGCCGATCAATAATCGATAACATCGGCAAATTATTTTGACATACAATTGGTTTGAAAACAATCATAATTTGTACATGAATAACGAATTATATGCTAGTTTATGTTGTGATATCATTCTGTATACATGTAGAATTTTTTTTCATTTATTTGACATTTGACAATAAAATAATAGCATTCCATAGCAAAACCAAGGTGTAGAAAGAAACTCGATCAACTTCGTTTGGAAGACAGAACCGCCACCGCTCGCCATATCTTTGTCGCTTACGACCTGAATAATAATGAGTAAAATGTAGTTATTTCCTCTTCAAACATTTCTTTGCAAATTCCTTGATAAACTAATAAAGGGAAAGAATTGGAGAGTCAAAATAAGGGGCACAACTGAATGTTACATGAAACCATTGGCTCTCATCATGACATAAGCGGCCAACATTACTCACCGGTGGCGCCGCCCGTGAGAACACAAAACGTACTTGTGTTTTATTATGACTATTCTGTTTAATTACAGTTCTAGGCCCAAGCACGCGTTGCAAAGAATACAGTGATAAGGATTATTTTTATGGACTTCTTACAAGTGAAGTACCTATAATTGCGCGATAATCAATATTTTAAAACTGTATCGATTATCGATTTTCAAACGCTTATCAACAATATCGATATTTTCCGCCAGCCCTACCAGTTTTGGGTCAATTTACAAAGACAAAGATCAGATTTGCACACCGTACTGCACAGCATATTTTCAGTATTTACACGTCAAATCCCATCCAAAGCAGCTAATTTTCTATACATTTATGTTTTGTGTGTACAATAGGCCTATTGTTATTTTCAGGGATCTGAATCTGAATCCCTAATAGAATAATATAAATTTCAATTTTATTTGTATGAGATGCTTCCATTATACTCGTTCACTTTAGAGCATTTTGGCGGCGTTAATATGAAGCAAATGGTGGACTGTTTTCTCACTCGAGAATCGTCACTATTCAACTCGTAAATGTACTTACGTTTCCTACGACCAATGGTGATAACATAATTTGAAATAAAAATATCTGATTAGGCATGGTTACATGTATTGCCCTCCAATGTTGCATACTTGACATACTGATAGCGATAATCAATGCAATGAGACAAGCGGTACATGAAAACATTTTAAACAACATATGTCATTCTATCATTCCAGCGGATATTCTCCATCATATTTCAGACTTCTATCCAATTATACATGTATATAAACGAGACTTATATTAGCATTCAATATCAGAACGAAAATGAAGATCAATATGTTTGGTGAATAATTATGGTAGCCCGAGTTATACCATAGGTGGAAGGAGACGGTCGCTATAAACAAAGGTATGCAGTTTTAAAAATAAACAAAAACCAAAAGTATGAGTTTAAGAATCTCAATATTTAGTTAGGAGAGCAATTTAGCTAATTTCTGGGAGTATTTAATGACTCCCCCAAAGATAAGTCAAGGTGCGTCGAGTGGTGCAAGAACGCCTTAAATGTGAAGGACTGTTGATCTTGTACTCAATCCAAAAAGCATATAGGTTCAAGTCCTCCCCCAGAAAATTTACATATTCTGGGCAAGTAGTACAAGAACCTCTTGGTCATCTTATAGAACCTCTGATCTTGTCTGTATGCACTCAACACTAAGATAAATGTTGGGGGGCCCCAAGACACTAGTCTCACTTGCCCCCCACCCCCCTATGCCCCAGTACTGATCATGCCAATGTCAATGTGTAAAGTCTTGTCAACTGAGAACAGAACTTAAATCCATGCGGCGAGGGAGAAGTGAATTTTGCTTCTGAAGTTCAATAGTCATGACAGGGGGGTTGGATGGCCAAATGGTTAGCATGTGCGCGCTGTATCATATGGTCTGTCATTGACTTGAAACTGACAGGGTTTCGATTCCCCAGTTGATGAGACTGAGAGTTTGGTCGCCTATAGTATTCAACCTCGTGGGTTTTCTTTGGTTTCCTCCCACTGCTAAAGCCCCCTACGCGCAAGCGAATAATTGAAATAAAATTGAACCATGTGTTAGTCCCGAAATGACCTAGTTTGTGTCGAGTGGACGTTAAAGTTAAACCCCATTTCTCTCTCTCTCTCAATACTAAATAATAGTCATGTCATGACGTTATTGTTAAATGAATAATACCGGTATTTGAAATCTACTTAATGTCATAGAAGACTCCAAACATATAGATCTAACTGTTTTCTACATTGAGTAAATATGAAATGATATTAATCATAAATTACCAACGATTTTAAAGCTGATTTAGTAAAGAATGAGCCGGCAATTTCAATAAAATTTTATATCTTCGGCGACTCAGCAATCACTTCTTACACTTAGCGCCACCATACAGGGGGAAACAACTGTGATTTGTAGACAACCTTAACAAGTCTCTAAAATGACAAAAAAACATGGAAGCTAAGTCGTCCACTGGCATTGGTTGACTCGTCCAAAACTATAAGTTGACTCGTACACACTTGTTAATTGTATGGCATAAATCACATTTACTCAGTGTTATTTTTGTTTTATCAAAGGAGAGGCTGAGAAGGGCATATGACCGGACGGAGGTACCAGAAATATTCAAAGGGGGCCTAGCCTCCTTGCGCCAGGCTGAGATAGCAAATCACCGGCCTTCGCTTCCCCTAAACCTGTGTTGAAACCAGTTCATATTTCAGCAAATTGAGAGGGCAGAATTATAATTTTTCGATCAAAAAATATTGAGTGTTGATTGTCAGTCTGTGTTTTAAAGACTTGGGCGGGGCGGGCGTGGGCGCGGGGGAGTCACAGTGGGTAAGACGCTGGTCTGCTAGCCTGGAGGTCGGGTGTTCGATCCCTGCATTGGCCAAGAATGTTCATTCAGATTTTCCGGCGTGATTCCCCCCTTGTCATGGTGATGCAGGACTGAGGGCCTGACAAGGACAGCTGTCTAGTCGTTCGGATGGGACGAAAAATCGAGGTCCCGTGTACACAATGGCGTGCACGTAAAAGATCCCTTGACAGTTGGAATTCGATATAAGAGAAATGTCAGCTTAAAATATAAAAACTAAAGCAAAACCTCTTCTAATAGGAACATTTAAAATTTATCTTTAGGTGGCCTTAGCACTGAACTTTTACTTTGGAATGTCGAAAAAGATCTTGCATAACAGAACCAAAACACTTCGAAACCTGTTTCAAAAATACGTAAAAACTGTCAAATCAAAATCTCTCCGATTTAGTTTCACAATGATTGTCTTTTACTCATTTTATATACCCATTTATACTAAATACGAAATATTTTTATCCACATATACTTCTATCTCACACTTTTATTTATTTTTCTAATACTTTAAAAAAAAAAAAAAAAATAAAAAAAATAAAAAATTAAAACAGATATAAAATTTGATTTGCAGAAGAATAACCCGTTACAGGTTTAAAGAAAAACTTTAAGAAGAATAACCCCAAATTTCCCTGTAAATATCCAAAGCCGCCCCGACTTTCAGACCGCAAGTTATTCCGGGCATAGAATATATACCCCAAAGATCAAAGAGATTTACTGTTACAGGTTTATAATAATGTTTATTTCATGATCAGTAGTGGAATACCGCGTTTTATCAGTGAAATAAAAGTGTTATTCCACTGGCTAGCAGTAGTCCATGTTGTTTTTACCTAAAATGATTGTAAAATAATAAAATAAATAGAACATTTGTCGTTTTGTCGTGAATAACATATTTTATTTCATCTCTAAGCAAGAAAACGTTTATTTTTTCACTCATGCTACGCATTCGTGAAAATATAAGTTTTCTTGCTTCTCGATGAAATAAAATATGTTATTCACTCCAAAACGACAAATATCCTCTATATAATTAACATGCTGCCCGAAAAGGTGTTTAATGAAAACCTATTCGACCCACCGAGTATTATAGCCACAAGTGTCGCAGCCTTTGTCTACTTCTCTTTTCTTAGGAGAGACATCTGTTAAATATGCATGATATTTTCTTTTCTTTTATGTGCGCACGCTTTGTTTTGTATTTTGATATATTATGTACCCTGTATGTGGGCCTTATACTGTCGAGTTATGTGATTTAATACTTTGTACATTTTGTTCCATATGCAGGTTTCATACTGTTTATTTATGAGTGCTCTAAATTTATGTCCGTCCATATTTTTGTATCCGTCCATTTTTTTGCACCTGTATATTTTGTATATTGTATGTTGTCCTCAAGGGAGGTTCCGATGCAATATTGTGTGTCTTGTGTAATAATTGTCATATCGTTATAATTTTGATGTACACGTTTTTATTTTATGATCAGTAGTGGAATACCACGTTTTATCAGTGAAATAAAAGTGTTATTCCACTGGCTAGCAGTAGTCCATGTTGTTTTTACCTAAAATGATTGTAAAATCATAAAATAAATAGAACATTTGTCGTTTTGTCGTGAATAACATATTTTATTTCATTCACGACAAAACGACAAATATCCTCTATATATTGTATGCTGTCCTAAATGGATGTTTCGATGCAATAAAATCTTATCTGATATTATCTGTAATATATCACCGGATGTATTGTTACCGGATAACAGAGACTACGATTCCCGGAGAAATGGTTTAGGGGACCACCAAGGGTAAGAAAAGAACGGAGATTAAGTCTAGATCAGTGAAATTGATGTCAAAAGGAATACAACACCCTCTGAGACCCTCGACAGTTAATGAATTGGCTTGTAATTTCCTGGAAGTTTTGATAAGGAAAAAGCTATTGTATATATTGCAACACGATAAGTTATAATAACACAAGAGACACTGGACATATTTAAGGTAGGCCGCTGTATTATTAAAATAAACAAATTATGAATTTAATTTTTCGTGACGTTTATAAATATCTTCCTTCATCCTTATATTCCTTGCTAGTTAACCCTTGTTACTAGGTCTAAAAAATATTAGGCGTTTTTATCAACCGCTGATTAGCCAAAGGGATTTGCATTAAATCAAATTTTCATCTTTAAAGAACATCTATATAGCTAATACAAACCGATTACCCTAATCAACGAATTTATCGACACTGATTTATTTAACTACGAAGGCCCAAAAGTGCCAAACAAAAAAAAAATTATTAATCTGGTCGAACGAGTTAGTATCTCGTTTGAACGAATTAGTATCTCGTTTGAACGAATTGCTATCTCGTCTGAACGAATTAATTATATTGTTTGAACGAATTAGTATCTCGTTTGAACTAATTAGTATCTCGTTTGAACGAATTATAGTATCTCGTTTGATCAAATTAGTATCTCTTTTGAAAGAATTAGTATCTCGTTTGAATGAATTAATTATCTCGTTTGAATGAATTAATCATCTTGTTTGAACGAATTAAGATTTCGATTTTACAGAAGCGTGGAAGGGACATGCAGAAATTGTGCAGGTCTTTCTTTAGGCCTTAAATGTTATATAAACTATTCATTAGACATTTATTAACATATTTAAGTAGATTAGAATGGTTCAGCCATTTAATGATTTAATTGAAAAATGGTAAAGCGGGCCTAAGCCTCAAACAACCAGTAGGGTGGTTACATTCCGTGCACACATCTTGTCAAACCTTCAAAGGCTAATATCGTCGCTCAGAATAAAGTAATTTAAATTTCAAAATATTCATTTTGTACTATCTATTTTTGAACTATTATTGCAAGAACGACCAGCTCTTTATCTAAATCTTACATAATGTATCTTTAATATTGTAAAGATGTAGATTTGAAATGTACCCAATTAAGAAATAATTATGCCTTAACTGAATTTTCTCTAGCTCAGTGAAAAGAGAGAGAGAGAGGGTGAGAAAAATGGGGTCATTTCAGGACTAACACATGGTTCAATTTTATTTCAATAATTTGCTTGCTTGTAGGGGTCTTTAGAATTGGAAGGAAACCAAAGGACCCGGAGAAAACCCACGAGATTGGAAAGGCGACCCTACTCCTTGTCACGTCAGTGAACAGAACTACAGGTATACGATTGCTTGTCAACAGGGTTTAGGATTATCCCAGAGTAAATTTATTCCTAGTGTTGAATGCGTTGCAATACAACGGATGGAAGAGGATTTGGGTGAGTTTCTAAGATAGAAGAAACAACTAATTAGCGATGTCTAATTTAATGTCGTGAGTCTTGTTAGAAAAGTCTGTGGATGACAGTAGCAGTATGCAAAACGAACAAGCGTAGTAATTGTGCCAAAACATTGCCCACATTGCACGTCTCATCCCTCCCACTAGGGTCCCGTGTGGCAAAGCGACGTTGCGGTTGGTCGACTTGCTCGAGAGAACAAGGGACATGAAACTGAGAGCTGCAGAGGGGAACGATGGCTCAAGGTGAACCAAGAGGGGAAGGCCTCCGGTCGGCTTTCACCGGAAATAAAGCGTAGGGCGGCCCTCACTCTTGCTTCGTTTTGCATGCTGTATGTATGCGCAAATGAGATATTTCTTTTTAACACTCCCACCCCACCCCTCTATCTTAGAAACTCACCCGAATCCTCTTCCAAGGCAATCAACACTGTTCACTGAGCTAGTCAAAATTCAGCTAAGGCACAATCTACAATTTTATTTATTAATTGGGTGCATTTCAAATCCACGTCCTTACAATATCAAACATATGTCTGTCGTAATGCCTGTTAAAGCATATACATGTCATAAAACAATGACTTCACTACAATGTTGTGGCTAACATTAGAAAAATTGGATAATTTCCAAGGTATTCTATACTAATTCCCCTTTTCACAAGTGTAGTTCCTTCTACTGACGCTAACGCTAGAAATAGTAAAGAACCTACACGTATTAAATCATATTATTTTTACTTGAAACACAATTTCTGCATGTCTCTTCCATGCTTCTGTACAATCGAAATATTAATTTGTTCAAACGAGATATCAAAGGAGCTAAATCGCTAATATTTGGGATCTAGAAATTGACCCGCATATAATGATGTAATCTGATTGTATATAAACTGATTTACATTCAATTTTTCCTGTTTTGACTCTTAATTTCAAATCAGTTATGTCCAGCTAAATACGGCATGAGTCTCAACTGAATGGCAATTTCTAGCTTCTGGTTATTCCAATCTATTGCGTATGCTCTCAAGATAAGATGACGTCACCGTTTAGCAGGAGTTGTGGAATATGTCTAGCCTTGTTCTTTCTGGTCACTTGTTACAAATGACTTTGAAACGCACTATGGTACTTTGTATGATATTGAGTTAGAGACTTAGCTACTTTAAGGAGATAATTAATTTGTTAAAACGAAGCTACTTTAACGAGATAATTAATTTGTTAAAACAAGATACTAATTCGTTCAAACAAGATGATTAATTTGTTTGTTCAAGATAATTAATTTGTTCAAACGAGATACTAATTCGTTCAAATGAGATACTAATTCGTTCAAACGAGATACTAATTCGTTCAAACGGATTAATATTTATTTTTACTTGGGCACTAATAGGCCGTCATAGATTTCAGATGTGATTACCACAAATCGCCAAGTCACCCCCTGGTGCGATTTGATGATTTGATCGGGTGATCACATGTGTTTTTCAACAATGCCCAGCCACAAGAATTGTTTACAGCTAATTGGCTCATGTAATGAACTCCCCAAAGTACTTTAAAATCGACTGTACTGTCACATATGACATCTTTACTAAATTCAAACCGATTTAGCAAGTTGATAAAAAAAGCCTATAATAGGATTTGAAAAAAAAACAAACCAACACCAAAACCCAATGTTTTTAAAGTCACGCCTTATAACGCAGTGAATTCGTGACTGATCAAATCATTTTTATATGCCCACATTGAAATGTGGTCTTATATTGTTGTCGCCCCCGTCCGTCTAGAGGCTAAAGTTAATATCCGATTGACTTTAAATTTATACACAGTGTTTAAGGTCATGAGACAAAGAAGCCTTTTGATTTTCAGCGATTTCCGGTAATTACTGACAGAGTTATGGCCTTTGATCACTTCAAAAAATCTTGTGGACGCTCTAGAGGTCAAAGTTAATATCCGATTGACTTTAAATTTATACACAGTGTTTAAGGTCATGAGACGAAGAAACCTATTGATTTTCAACGATTTTCGGTAATTACTGCCTGAGTTATGGCCCTTGATCACTTCAAAAAATCTTGTGGACGCTCTAGAGGTCAAAGTTAATATCCGATTGACTTTAAATTTATACACAGTGTTTAAGGTCATGAGACGAAGAAACCTATTGATTTTCAACGATTTTCGATAATTACTGCCTGAGTTATGGCCCTTGATCACTTAAAAAAATCTTGTGGACGCTCTAGAGGTCAAAGTTAATATCCGATTGACTTTAATTTATACACAGTGTTTAAGGTCATGAGACGAAGAAGCCTTTTGATTTTCAGCGATTTCCAAAAAATACTGCCAGAGTTATGGCCCTTGATCACTTTGAAAAATCTTGTAGACGCTCTAGAGGCTAAAGTTAATATCCGATTGACTTCAGATTGATACACAGAGTTTAAAGTCTTGAGACGAACAAGTATATTGATTTTCAATGAATCTTTGTGACTTGAACAGCTAAATCCATGATGTTAAAAGTTTCGTATACTAAACGTTAGCATGGGTCAGAACTTTATAAAAACCAAACAAATTCTAATGGTTTTCTGATAATCACTTAATGAGTTGTTACTCTTAATCAGATTTTAATGTATTATAAATGTTTCATTACCGAAAAAAGTAAAAATATGCGACAACTCTTGTTGACTGCCCGGACGATATAGCTGCTGTGGGCGTATGTTTCGTTGCCTGGCAACCTATCTTTTAATTGACTTTTTGGTTTTTGGTAGTCCAGTATGTACATCCTTTGACTGAGGGTCATGTCGCAAGTGGAAACTGAAATTATCCTCTATTATACTACTATTACTACCCATGTACTGTGCCTACATATACATCTACAGCCCATATGACAAGCTCATGTTTTAGATAGTAATTAAAGGAGCTAAATCGCTAATTTTTGGGACCTAAAACTTGACACAAATAGGTCGCAACACATATAATAAAGTAATATGAATGTATAAACTAATTTACAATCGATAGTTTATGTCTTTACTCTTAATTTCAAATCAGTTATGTTCGGCGAAATACGCGTCTGGTTATTCCAGTCTACACCGGTAGCATTTATTGCACATGCTCTTCAGATAAGAATATGGCGTCACCGTTTGACATGACTTGTGGAATATGTCTAGCCTTGTTCTTTAAGTCCCTTATTACAAATGGCGCTGAAACGCATTCTGGGAGATTAGATAAGAATAGAGAACGGAAAGATAATATGTTGAACATTTCAGTCAAATTGCCCCACTCTGAACCGAGATATTCGCTTTTGAATTTTAAGCCAAGCCTTGATCATCATTACTAAAGTCGGTATGATAAAAAGCATAATCTCAATTATCCATTTTTGGATTTAATCATCAATGAGCAGCCGATCGAATTCAAATCCAGTGAAAATGGCATCAAGAGTTGAATATGGTTTGGATAAGTTAATTAATGTCTGATTAATAGTTTATATAACATTTCAGGCCTAAAGAAAGACCTGCATAGCTCTTGCATAATGTAGGTTTAAGAAAGACAAAATAAATTGTCCACTGTGTGTGTATTCATCAATTACAATTATACTATATAATAAACATTGTTTCAAACTGTTGATTAGAAAAACTTATATACATGGTTTATTGGTATTGTGCATTTATAAAAAAAATTCACCGTGAATATACATATAATCCATAGTTTATTATACACAATTATAAGAATAAGGCATATTGAAGATAAGTAATATTACTTTTGCCTCTGCATTCTATCCTTTAAAACAATAAGTGTGTGGAAGCTTGGTACCTAGTGACTTAAATATATTCATGTACATGTATCTAAAACTAATTGAGGGGTTTTGCATGGCCTAGTAGTGGCACGTGACACCCTGACAATTCTTTAATTGGGTGGCGAAAGTGCCAAATTTTTATTGACTTTGTTTTTCGGCAGGGAAGTACACCAAAGGGACCAAATTTTTATTGACTACAAAAAGAAAAGGCAGCAATGTTTTGTGCACAAAATGCAATATTAACTGCATAACATTTTCAGGAGCATCACTCCCATGACCCAAAAAGATGCTGCACTGCTAAAAGCTTCAGGATTTACAACACTTCCCAGACCACCAGCTGGGTTGCTTGCAAATTACTTTGGCACCACCCACTCTGAGGTGCCATTATCAAGTCTTGCCCACCTTACTGCATCCATTCCACCATATCACAGCCATCGGCTTTAATTCCTTCTGTCATTGAAATTACATGTAAGTGACCTTGTTTCGATTTGGCTTGTTTGTAAAAGATGGTCATCTGCCTTATCTTATGGATTTTCCCTGACTCATACGGTTTCCTCCTACTGTTGGCGAGTTGGGTGGTCGAATGGTCCAATGCATGCGCTTTAGATCATAAGGTCAGCCATTGAGTCAAGTCGTCGGTTTTTTCCTGGAACTCCGGTTTCCTTCCACTGCTAAAGACCCTCATGCACAGGTGAAGTATTGAAATAGAATTTGACCTAGTTTGTGTGGAATGGATTTAAACCCCATCTCCTCCCAACATTAAAGTTATGGGTAAGCAAATTTTTGAAAAAAAGATAAACCATATAATATTATGTTATTCGCAAAAATGATCTAGTTTGTGTTTTATTTTATGAACACAAGGTGGATTGTGTGGCGAGCCAAGAGGCTGTTCTGATGAATTTTAACAATATTTTGTCGATTTCATAGTTTTTTGTTTTGTGGGATGGCAGTCTGTCGTTAAAAGTTTGATATCCAATATTAATATATGCCCAGCCAATGTTGAGATAGTCAATTTTGTATTCCACTTTCAATACAAAAAGGCAAAAATTAAACAATTGAATACATTTAGCTGGAAAGGATAGTTGGGTTATCCACAAGCAATGGGGTAGTGGTGAGAACCATTTGGGATCCCTTCTTGATTATGCTTAATGTTATGAAAATAAGAGATTGGGCTACATATTACTTTTATTGACATTAAAAGGTTATTGCAAAATTTGAATTTTAGAAGATCCACGTGTGTTATGTTTAAAACCAATACAATAGTCATATTTCATATTTATGAAAAGGGGTAATATTGGTATATCTTCTTGGAGAAAACAGGTAATTTTGGGGTGGACGGGTATTTCACCATTCAACCTATATAGAAAGTGAGTCACTAACCAAATAGGTGAATTTTTGTGTCTCATTTGAAAAATGGAAGGACAGTATTCCAGAGAATGATTATTTTAGGTACAATGACTTTAGCCAAATTTAATTTTACACTGATATACACCTACATTCAGTTTAATCCTTGATGTGTCATCATTAATTTTGGATTTGGAAATGTATATTGATGGAGAAAGTTATAACTTTATGTCTTTGTTTTGGTTTTCCATTTTTAAGGTCTTGGTCAAAGGAACTTAAAGCCGTTGATTTTGTGTTTTTAAGAAATGTATTATTACCCATTACAAAAACAAATATTTGTATCGTACCGGTGCTTCATGTACCGCACTCAACTAGATAGGGGTCGCTCAAATTTAAAATTTGTTCACAAGGAAGTATTATAGCAGCCATTGACATACTTTAAACTAGTATTTTTGCATGTCACTAACTGGTACAGGTGAGGTAATTCTCACAATATTTTTCTTTAGTTTTAAAACAAATTAAATTATTTAGATTTATTTCAGATGTATATTGACACTTGATTAAACCAATTAAAAGCTGCCAGTGTATTATACATGTAGTGTGACCAACTGGAGGGACATATAAATGCATTTCTGAAATTATGTTTAAAGCACAATCTCATATAATGTAATTTATCATTTTGATATTTCAGTTTGTTTATTATATAAAAAAAAGATGGAAAGATCAATGCTCAGTGAATGTTTAGTGTATCCACCCCATATCTGTGAAATATTTTTGGCAAAGGAGACTGATCTACGGCAGAAATTGTAAGTTGGACTGTTTTATTTTATTAGTCCCCTACATAAGGGGAATATAGATTTTCTCCCTGTACATCCATTTGTTTATCATTTTTGTTTTCCAGAATTCTATTTTATTCAACTTTGAGATATTTAATTGGAATTTGGTACCCTGCTGTAAAAGGCAGAGTTACATTTGGATGGAAAGATTTACCCAATACTATCCATCGGTAATCACATTTGAAGTACATGACTCACTGTTTTTGAAAAATTCAAGTGATATGTCTTTTCTATCATTATGTTGTAGTATTGGGTGGTGTTGGGTAGTATTTTGTAAATCATCCTACCATCAATGTTTTACTGAATTATGGCCCTTTATCAATCTGATTAAAACACAGGTCCAATTTCGGATCTGGAATAGTTGTTATATAAACCGGGTTCGGGTTGAAGTGGGGGATTAACCAATGAAACGGTCTGTTAGGTTGAAGTGGGGGATTAACCAATGAAACGGTCTGTTAGGGCGAGTTCTTTAAGTGCAATGCACAGAACTGTGGTTAGACCACTAGAAACGTCAACGCTGATGGATTAATCAATGTCTGATGTCATATGGTCAAAAGCTGCGCGTAAGACCCCTGACACGACCTCCCTCTAAAACCGGTCAGATCTTCATGTAGCGTAGGCCATTGAAACTATAAAAAAAAAAATGAAACGAAATATAGATCTATATTTTAATCAGATTGACCCTTTATTGACTTCAAATTCAATGAAAATTCTGTTTTCCAACATTTATTAGGCTAAACTTGGTTGTTGGTACACTGCTGTATATACATTTAGAAGAGTTACAGTTCAGATCAAAATTGCGTTTTGCAGGATTCTGTTAATATTTTGCTGAATTATGAACGTTCAATTTCCAAAAGAGCTTTTATAAGTGTTTTTTGCCATTCAAACTTCCCTCTAGCAGTGAAAGGGTTAATGACTTAAAAATTCAAACAAACTGTAATACTATTAAAACTAATGCACTTGAATGATTTAAATTCATGTACACTATTAAAGCTAATGTACATGTACTTGAAGTTCACATTTTATGGGGGGGGGGGGTGGATGACCGAAAGGTTAGCACGTGCACGCTGTATCATAAAGCCTGTCATTGAGTCAACTGGTGTGGTTTTGAATCCCCGGTTGTATGTGACAAGGAGTAGGGTCGCCTGTTTAACCTTGTGGGTTTTCTCCGGGTCCTCTGGTTTCCTCCCACTGCTAAAGACCCCTACGCGCAAGCAAATTATCGAAATAAAATTAAACCATATGTTAGTCCCGAAATGACCTAGTTTGTGTCAAGTGGGCGTTAAACCCCATTTCTCTCTCTCTCTCTCTCTCTCTCCCACATTTTATGATTTTAATTTATGTACAAAAACTAATGTGAACACAGCTGTTTGATATGAATTATTTTTCTTCTGTTATTAAGGCTGGATTATGACCAGAAAGATAAAAGTCTTAGACATCAAGTTGCACAAAATATCTTTCAATTTCTGGAGCAACAGTATGGTATATTAGAAACTTCTAATTTGAAGTCATTACTACTGAATTTCTACTGGTCAAAAACAAAGGTATTTTATCTGATTCTTATGGGTTTTTTTTATTTTGATAAGAACAATTAGAGGACTTGCTTCATAGACAAGTTGATAACCCTCTTATATGCTGAGGCCAGAAATCCATACAGGTAAACATAGACTATTCTAATGATTTCCTCATTTTCATTAGCTCAGCAAGAACAGAAAGGAGTACATTAAAGCCCATTTCATTTACTAATGGTTTGTATAATATATTATATTTATATTATGTGATGTCATTTACAACCACATTATCAGATGACACTTAAAAGATCATTTTGGACAGTAATCCTTCCTGTATAACTCGGCATCATTTTGGAATAAACTACCATCAGTTCAGATGTTAAAGATGCACCATATGAGCATATACTTATAATGTATGGCGTTTAGCTTTTAAGAAGTGCACTATTATTGTTATTGTCCCCCGCCTTTCGAAGAAAGCAGGGGACCTTTAACATGGGTCTGTTCGTCTGTCTGTCTGTCTGTCACACTTTTTGGGACACAATAACTCTCCTTTTAATTGAGCTAGAATGTTCAAACTTGGTGTAGGTGTTTATTAGGTGAATTCCTTGATGGTGTTTGAAGATGAGCATTTTCTGCGTAGATTAAGCAGAGATAAACTATTTGATTGGTTGATGCTTTGGGACATGATAACTTTAGCTCTAATTAAATGAGAATTATGAAATTTGGTGTATTGTTTCATTACATCAATACCTTGACTAAGTTCGATAATGATCATTTTCTGCTCAGGGAAAGCTTTGTGATAAGCAATGTGATTGGTTAAGAGTTTGGAACACAATAACTCTCCTAACTGAGGTAGAATGTTCAAACTTGGTGTATGTGTTTATTAGGTGAATGCTTTGGAGGGCCCTAATTTGCGGGTGGCCTAATTTGCCCAGGGACCAATTCACCTTTTGCTCAATTTCGCAAGGCGTTCAAATTCTTCAGGAACCCAATTTCGCCCTTAGCCAACTTTGCCTGGGATCCAGGGGGTGGAATGACCAAATGGTTAGCACGTGCAAGCTGTATCATAAGGCCTGTCATTGGGTCAACTGGCGTGGTTTCGAATCTCCGGGTGTACGTGACAAGGAGTAGGATGGCCTGTCCAACCTCGTGGTTTTTCTCCGGGTCGGTTTCCTCCCACTGCAAAAGACCCCTACACGCAAGCGAGTTATTGAAATAAAATTAAAACCATATGTTAGTCCCAAAATGACCTAGTTTGTGTCAAGAGGACGTTAAACCCCATTTCTCTATCTCTCCAGATTCGTTCGGGAGCCAAATCATGAGGTTATGCTGGTTAATTTTATACCACATATGTGGGGGTGGATTGCAGTGATTGAAGCGTGATGGGCGAACGTGTTTCGAAATAGCTTTATTTAACGTCCACTTCCATCGAAGTGATATCGCGGGCAATTGAAATTTGTTGGTTCGTTCCTGGGGATTTTACATCCATTTTCACCTAGGGTGATAATGTAGACAAGTGTTCCTAAGAAACTTGAGAATTCTTCTTCTTCTTCTTTCCTAGAGTTTTACGTCCACTTCCTCCATGGGTGATATCATAGACAAGTGTTTCCTAAGAAACTTACTACAGGAAGATAGGCTTGACCCAGTTTCTATTCTAGGATGACTAAATCCATATTTTGGTTAAAAGTAAACACTCATAGTTAAAATAATTTCATTTTGACAAAAGTCTTCATCTAAATGGAATCTACACAATTTTTACTGATTTTTGTCTAAAATCCAAAATATCAAATAAAATAATACTCGATAATCTAAATAAAACTTATATAACCGGTTCAAAAATTGGTTGAATATTCTATGAAATATGGTGAATTTTTTCTAGTGAGGTGCACGTTAAAGTTTTTATGTCACTAATATGTAAAAACTGTAATGATAACCAAAAAGCAACTCATATTCAAATACTAGCAGGTTACCCGGCTTCGCCCAGGACCCAAACTCGCACAGGTCCCAAAATCGTCAGGTGGCCAATTTGCCCAGGGCCCAAATTCACCGGGATGGGGGCAGTTCGCCCAGACCCAAATTGGCCTGGTACCTAAATTCACAGAGTCATGCTGGTTAATTTGATACCATGTGAGAATGTAGGGAAGTGACGAATTTTTATTTGCCCATGTTCCAGGCTGGGACTCAAATTTGATGGTGTAAAACATTCATGGGGTCATGCAGGTTAATTTGATACCACATATGTGGGGGTGGATCGCTGCGATGAAGTGTGATGGGCAAACATACATACAAACACATAAACACTTTGATTTAATTTATATAGATTAGCAGGATCCGGATTTGCCAGGGGCCCAAATTTGTCCGGGGCCTAAATTTGCTGTTGTAAAAGATCCACATGGTCATGCTGGTTAATTTGATACCACATATGTGGAGGTGATGCAAGGCGACAAAGCGCGATTTGCCTGGGTCTTGAATTTGATGGCCTAAAACATTCATGCATGGGGTCATGCTGATTAATTAGATGCCACATACCACGTCAACGAAGTGTTATAAGCGAATATACACACATACATACACCCCTACCCCTACATACATACACACTTTGATTTTATTTCTATAGATTATCTGATGTAGTGATAAGCACATCTTATACTTAGCAGAATTGTTAATACTCCTTTTGTTTAAGACACATGAAGGTGAAATGAAATTAATTATAGAAAACAATGTGAACTGTAAAAGGTCAAATTGATCTATTTGAATTAAAATTGTTTAATTGTGTGTTGTCATAGACTCTATATTCAACCTTTATTCTAGTACGTTCCATTCTGTGATTACCTGTGTTTACGGTTACTTGGCAACAAGAGAGATTTGTATTATCTATTTCCTAGCATTTCTAACTAAATTACTAAGTAAAGTTCTTGAAAATAATGCTGAAATTTCTGGCTTGGAATTTTTCTAGAGAAAATCATGCCAAGACAGGGTGATAGGGCCTGGGAAATATTTTGGATGAGAAAATTGGGGTTGGTAACCATAAACACAGGATTTTTTTTTAATTTTGGCTGAATATATAGATCTCTTGATACTTCCCTATTTCAGGAGGAGATAAATGACAAGAAATTGGGAAACATTTACTTGATCCAATGTTTTCAACAACTTAGCTCAAAATGGGGAAAAATGTCTCAGGTAATATTTTACATTTTATTACAGCTACATTTGCACTAATTGGGACAGTTTTTAGATTATTATAAAAAGGTGGGGAAGGTCTGCTATTGTTTATTGGCTTTTAATGTATTTTATATTTCAAACATCATTTTGATGCAGTATAGATACATATATTTAAAATTACTGGCATATTAGGTACTTTTACAGTGTTACTCTGTTGTTCAGCCTGGCCTCCATAATCCTTGTTATACTAATTATCAGTCAGGGGTCGAAATTAGCATTACTGGTAATCTGTTACAGTCCTAGACCAATAACTTCTCCAAATGACCGACCAATAGGTTTCTATATATTAGTCTTCAAATCCTGTTAGCTAAATAAGAAATCGATGCTACATGTAGTTACATACAGATATACTAAAATTCACAAGGTTTAAATAACTTGTTCTTTAAGGGAGATTGACCATATGTCCTAACAGTAAGGCCCATAAGAATTACTGTCATTGTCACCTAAAACTTGAGCATCAGTTTTATGCTGGGTTATTTTCTTAGTTACTTTTCAAACTTCCTGCGATTGTTTGCTTGTCCTAAAGAGGAAACATATCGAAAAGTAAATTATATGTGATTACTGCCCATATGAACAAAACCTTGTAAATGCTTTACAGGTCAAAGTTTGACTGTTTGAAAATCTATTTTTGTGAAAAATTCTTGTGGCCATTTTGAATTCCGCCGTTAAATCATCTTTAGATTTATATTTTGATTTTATATGTATACCAATGTCTATACATGTATTTCCAGTCAGTCTCACCGATACTGTCAACTTCTCCTGTTACTGATTGTGATGAAAGAGTGCAGAACATGTTAGAAACAGAGAGTAAAGATATGAAATCAGTCAGTATGAAACTACAGAAGCTTACAACAGATATCAAGGTAAGATTAATATAGGAGGTCTATTGTACCAAAGTGAGGCGACATTGTATCGTTTCAGCACTGGTTACGTTATGTTTGGAATACTGTATACTAATTTTGAAATCTTCTACATCATTAGTAAAGCATATTTAAAGAACCGCATATTTTGATAAGATTTACAACAAATATCAAGGTAGGATTAATATAGGAGGTGCTCTATTGTACCAAAGTGATGCAACATTGTATCGTTTCAGCACTGGTTATGTTATGTTTGGAATATGGTATACTAATTCTGAAATCTTCTACATCATTAGTAAAGCATATTTAAAGAACCACATATTTTGATAAGATTTAATACGTTTTTTACAGGATCTAAAGGATGTTTTGGGTACAGTTTCTGCAAACTATCAAAGAGGAGTAGAAATGGTCAATGGTATATAGTTTTAGTTTATTTGAACTTAATAGTTTGTGCCATTCTCTATACATATGAATAAATTTGTACTTTCAATATTTGAATATTGAAATCAAATTGTGTATGCTCATCTTCATTAGCCCAGTTGGAGCAGAATAGTAGGGCGTTAAACCCAATTTCATTTCAGAGCAGCTATTCTCTTTATCTCTCTTTTGTTAGAATATAGAAATAAATGGACCATATCTACTTTAATGCCTTTGGACCTCTTGTTGAAAATATAGTTACAATGATCATGTTTTGATTTATTAGTAAGAGCAGGGGGACTGCAACACACATAATTACACAAAACAAATTACAGACAAACGTACATCAGATTAAGTGAATGGATCTGGGTGCTAGCCGTAAGCGTCCACTGCAATGTACAGTCCCAGGTCTGTAGTGACACAGACTTTATTCAAAAATGAAAACTAACCAACAGGAATATATCCCCAAAACATTGTGTAATACTAGTACGAGTCATGATCTGGTATATTCCATATGAAATATGAATGTAAGCATATTGAAGTAAAAAATTATCTTTACAAGTAACCATACCGGTGAAATGTATAAAAAAGCCAGGTAGTCTAAAGAGCATATGTCCCACAAAAACAGAGGAAAAAACAATACTGAATACAAAGAAGCAAACGGTGAAAATTCAACCTGTCTCGAAGACAGTTGTCTGCTGATTGAATGACGTGACGTAAAAGGTAGTAGTTTGCCAAATGATGTCAAGAGTTAAATGTAATAAAAAAAAACAACACTGACCTAGTTTGTGTTGAGTGGATGGTAAACCTCATCTCTCTCTCTTTAAAATTTCCTAAGGCCTTGTTTCCACTATTTTACAGTGTATAAAAATCCAGATGATCGAATAATGAATGTTAACCTGTCAGATTTTGAAAGCTATTTAAAGAAAATGAATACTGATTATAATAATGAGAGGAAGGTAAGACATATAGTGTGTTATTAGAATTTATTTTATATGAGTTGCCTATCTCATAGAGATGGAGAAGACCATTAAATTTCAGTAATTTTTAAAATCTTAAAAGTGCTGTGTAGGTTTCAATTATGATACATTTCATTAATTGTTTGCAGAGATATTCTCATTTGTTATGAATAAGTTGTTTTGTGCATTCAAAGAAAGAATCCTATTGATCATCAATTATTATGCGCCCACATTTTCATGTGGACGTATATTGTCGTCGCCCCTGTCCGTCCGGACATCCGTCCGTCCACAATTTGTTTGTGGACACACTACAGGTCACAATTCTTATCCGATTTTGACGAAACTTGAAATATAGGTTTATCGCCAAAAGATCTCGGCTGCTTTCGATATTGGCATGTATCGGATCGAAACTTCATGGATTATGGCCCCTGTTTGTACAAAAAATCACGTTTTTAGCTTGTGGACCCTATAGAGGTCACAATTTTTATCCGATTTTGTTGAAACTTGAAATGTTAGTTTATAACCCAAAGATCTTGGTTCCTTTCGAATCGTTGCACCCTAAGGATCGTTGAGTTCGAATTTCGTGTAAATCGGCCCAAAATTGAGAGACAAAATGGCTGCAGTTCGGTCTCAAATAGCGTAAAAAATATGGTAAATCAAGGGTGTGGACCCTATAGAGGTCACAATTTTTATCCGATTTTGTTGAAACTTGAAATGTAAGTTTATAACACAAAGATCTTGGTTCCTTTCGATATTTGCGCATATCGAATTGTAATTTCCTGAATTATGGCCCTTGATTGTAGGAAAAATCACTTTCTTTTTAGCTTGTTCTCTATCCATCTCTCGAAAATGTGGGCGTATCCTGCCTGGCAGCCGCTGGTTTTCTATAGTTATGCCCCTTTGTTGTAACTTCCTGAATTATGGCCCCTGATTGTACGAAAAATCGTGTTTTAAGCTTGTTGACCCTATAGAGGTCATAATTTTTATCCGATTTAAAAAAAAACCCGTATCATTATATCACCGTTACACCCTAAGGACGGCTGAGTTCGAATTTCGTGAAAATCGGCCCAAAACTGACAGAGAAAATGGCCGCCCTTTGTTATCAAATAGCGTAAACATATGGTATATCAAGGTTGTGGACCCTATGGAGGTCACAATTTTAATCCGATTTTGTTGAAACTTGAAATGTAAGTTTATAACACAAAGATCTTGGTTCCTTTCGATATTTGCGCATATCGAATTGTAATTTCCTGAATTATGGCCCTTGATTGTAGGAAAAATCACTTTCTTTTTAGCTTGTTCTCTATCCATCTCTCGAAAATGTGGCGTATCCTGCCTGGCAGCCGCTGGTTTTCTATAGTTATGCCCCTTTGTTGTAAAGTCTATGTCTGTCTCTCTGTTATGAACATTTGTTATTTGTTGGCTACAATAATCCATATATATTTTGAAATAAAGAATCCTATTGATCGTCAACATTTGTCCATAGTCGGCTCCACAGTTCTGTCATGAAGTCTTGTTAAATCTTTTTGCCTGCAATTATTGACGCATCTTTCTGAAATGTGTATTGGTTGTTTGACCTATTGATTTTCAGTAATAACTGCTAGAGTTACACCTCTTTGTTACGAAGTTTACTTCTGCTGATCTGTCATTAACATTTGTTATTAGTAAGATAAAGAGCACAATAATCCATATATTTTCTTGAAATTTTTATGTGTGGTCTATCTCATGAAACGAAGAACATACACCAGGACTTCCAGGACATGCACCTTGTTACTATTACTTTTTGAACTTATAGGCTGCAGTTAATAACCTATATCTTTCTGAAATTTATATGGGTTATGATTCAATCTTTCTGAAATTTATATCGGTTATGAGTCAATCTTTCGGAAATTTATGTTGGTTGTCTATGCTATTGAAAGGAAGAATCCTATTGTCGTCGCCCCTGTCTTGTCCGTCCGTCGGTCCGTCCACAATTGTTTATCACCTATGGCATGTATCGGACTGTAACTTCATGGATTATGGCCCCTGATTGTACGAAAAATCATGTTTTTAGCTTGTCCTTGTTATTGCCAAAATATGACAAAAAATAACTTATGAACATGATACATGTAGAATCATCCAATTTACTATATATAGATAGAACTCAATGACCATTGAATACCGCTTGGGTTATTTAATGGTTCAAGAGAGTGTATCCCTGCGCAAGTATTCAATTAACGATAGCGAGTGGAATGCGGCAGGGATATGCTCGAGTGAACCATTGTACAATCCGAGTGGTATTCAATGGTCATTGAGTTCTGTTTTTATTCTTTAACTATATGCAAATCTCAAAATGCACTGTACTATCCAGATTATCCGATTTAAAAAAACGTTTGAATATATCACTGTTACACCCTTATGATGGTTGAGTCCGAATTTCGTACAAATCGAACGAAACTGACGGACAAAATGGCTGCCCCTTGTACGCAAATATTGTAAATATCGTATATCAAGGTTTTGGACCCTCTAGAGAGAGGACACAATTTTGATCCAATTTTGCTGAAACTTGAAATACATGTTTATAACACAAAGATCTTGGTTCCTTTCAATATTCATGCATATCAGATCGTAACTTCCTGAATTATGTCCCTTGATTGTACGAAAAATCACTTCTTTTTCTGAGCTTGTTCTCTGTCCATCTCTTGCAAAATGTCGGCGTATCTTGCATGGCAACTGGTTGTTTTCTCTTTTCAGAGGTTTTTAGAGAAATGTACTGAAGTATGCAAGGATGTAGAACATATTGCAGAGAGTGTAATAAAGTGTATAGAGCAGTGGATACATTCACAAAAATTATTTTATGTTAAAGCTGGGGCTAATCAAAGTCTTGATGAAGTAGAATACTTGTAAGTATTTTTCTCTCTAATCGACAAGAGTCAAATGTAACTTCAAATGACAAAAACTCTGTTATTTGTGTAACTATAACGTTTGGTTTGTTTTGCCAAATGGGTGTCTGTTTTTTACCCTTCAGGATTTAGCTAGTTTTATGGTAAACACGGATGACTTTGCTGGTGGTAGGCATATTGTATAGAACTCAAGCCCCTGTTTATGTTTTATATTTCTTTTAGAGGTAATTCAATTATGATTACATTGAAATCATAAATGATACTTTCTTTGTTTCAGCTGTCACTCTCTTTTTAGAGAAATAATGAATATGATTCATATGATTGGGTCTGATGGATTTAACTATGTTGAAGTGTGTCAGAGTATTTTTCAAGATCAAGGCAATCTCTCTCCTGACAACGTAAAATTTAACAAAAAAGTATGTTACAATAAACTTAAGGAATGCCTTCAAGACTTGTTACAGAAGTAAGTATTGGTCAGATGAAAACTAATAAGTCAATGAATGCATAAAATACAATATTTTGAAAGTTGAATCTCCAAAAGGAATATCAGTCCAAAATAATTCATTTCCATTCAGCATTTACAAAAATACAAGGAATAGAAAATTTGTCAACATTCTGCATCCTCAAGGTAATAAGTGTTGGTTAAAATCACTAATCTGATTGAATCCATGCTGGAAGATTGTCTATTGATATTGTCTTCTTAATTAAAAGTTAAATAATCAATTTGTGTAAATTAGGGCATGTATTAAGCTTTGAGAAAGATGCATATTGTCTATCAGTGGCTTTAAGAACAAAAAGTTGGCATAATCTTCGCTGAGTTGTTTGACAATGTCAATTCAAATTATTACCTAGAATATAACTAGAAATAGAGTTGTCACCAATAAATAATCCTAATATTTTGTTTCCTTTGACAGGAGTTTTGTTGTAATAGAACAACCTGTTGATGTTCAGAAAGTAACTGGACCAGGCGGTGCAGATAAAACTCCCACGTAAGTTTCTTTTAATGTATATATTTCATTGATCCAAAAATATAATCACTTTTGAACATACTTTATAAAAGTAATGCTCAAATCAAAATTCAGAACATGTTAAAATTGATGAAATAGCAAAATTAAAACAGTAGTAGATATTAATTTTTATTCTATAACTACATGCAAATACAAGCAAATATCATTGAATACAGCCATTGAATAACCAACCTATGGTTGTATTCAATGGCTTGAAAACGTAGTACTTTTGTCCAAAATGATGTCACTTTCAGAATTATGTCAAACAGTAATGGTCACCACTAGGCAGCCACAATTTTTGTAAAAAAGAAAGAAAAAAGGATGGAACCTATGATGAATTTTAACGTTATTGGTGATGATTTTTTGATAATCTGGATAGTACAGTGTATTTGAGATTTGCATGTAGTTAATAGAATAAAAACAGAACCCAATGACCATTGAATACCACTCGCTCGGGTTATTCAATGGTTAAAGAGAGTGTATCCCTGCCGCATTCCACTCGCTAGCACTCGTGGAATACACTCTCTTGAACCATTGAATAACTCAAGCAGTATTTGATGGTCATTAAGTTCTATCTATATCTAAAAGTATTGAAAGTAAAAGCTTTTCTAAATAAAAAAGTCGTGTGAAATTTCCCCCCAAAAATAAAATTAGGGGTTTAGTATTTTTAATCTTATACTTGATATACAAGAGCACATTGATGTGGCAACTGAGTAATATAGAAGGCTGTTATAATAATAACAGTATAATATATATAATAATGATTATTTAATTATCTTTTTAAAAATTATGATCTACAGATCAAAAGATAAAGTAAAAGACAAAAAATCTGCTGGGTGAGTATTACAATATGGACATCATCCATGAAGTAAGTCATGTCGCCACAAAGATATTTACGGAATAAGTTGTGAATGTTTATTTCATTTTTATGTTGATAAATTGTATATACGTGAGATCTCAGATGAGTTTGAATTGAATGTGATTTGTCAACTAATTGTGCAGGTATTTGTGTCAATCAGTTGCCTGTGATGTAACCAAAGTATCTCAATATATAGCTTATTATTGCTATTCTCATCCAATGAAACTTGATATGTTGACTTATGAATCATGAAATCTAGAATGAGTTAGAATTTGCAGCGGTATTGCAATTTACAAAATACGCTAAAATAGTTTCATTTCAATTTGCTGAAACTTGGTTTATGGCCTACTTTCATAAGATCTTGAATCAGTTCGAATTTGAATGAGATTTGTGAATTATTTGCAGAGTTATTGTCCTTGTTATTGCCAAAATATGACAAAAAATAACTTATGAACATGAGACATGTAGAATCATCCAATTTACTATATATATATAGATAGAACTCAATGACCATTGAATACCGCTTGGGTTATTTAATGGTTCAAGAGAGTGTATCCCTGTGCAAGTATTCAATTAACGATAGCGAGTGGAATGCGGCAGGGATATGCTCGAGTGAACCATTGTATAATCCGAGTGGTATTCAATGGTCATTGAGTTCTGTTTTTATTCTATAACTATATGCAAATCTCAAAATACACAGTACTATCCAGATTATCAAAAGAAAATCATCACCAATAACGTTCAAATTCATCATAGGTTTCGCCCTTTTTTACAAAAATTGTAGTTGCCTAGTGGTGACATCATTACTGTTAGACGTAATTCTGAAAGTGACATCATTCTGGACAAAAGTAGTATGTTTTCAAGCCATTGAATACAACCATAGGTTATTCGATGGCTGTATTCAATGATATTTGCTTGTATTTGCATGTAGTTATAGAATAAATCTCTTTATTCCAAGCAATCTTGTCCAATTTCTAATTTGAGTGATATTTGTCAACTTTTGGTTTAGTCACCACCCTTGACAAAAGAAGCTTATGCACTCACTTTACTCATAATTTTTTTTGCATAACTTTTTACAGATCCAAAGCTGAAGATGATAAATCAGGTTCTGGGAAAAAGAAAGTAGGTCCTGAGTTTAATACTAAAGTCCAGTGAGTATTTTAGATTTGTTATTGTTTTTGTGAGATGACAAACTGTGTAAATAAGTATATGTCCTTATATGAATAAAGGCAGTGTTGAAATATAACAGATTGTGTGTTCAAGGATTAATGGTTTTAGCCAAAAAATGAAACTATACTATTCAAAAAAAGTAGGGGATATTTGATTTTTAAGTGTTATTAAAGTCACCTAATGAAACTGACGAAGAAACAAATGACAAAATGAAATGAAGTTCACATTCATCGATTTATTCCAAATGATCGTTAGACTAAGTAAGGCACAGACTGACCATTATAAGGGTAAAATGATACCCGGGGTCAAACAACAAAGTTACCACAGCATCACAACCAAGTCAGTAACGGGTAAATCCTCCTCTGTTTGCCAAACAAGCATTGATCCGACGTGGCATACTCCTAATGAGACGTCTAAGGTCATTTTGGTCCAGATTGTCCCATTCCTGTTGCAACGCAGCAGCAAGTTCTTGGACATTGGCAGGACGTTGTTGACGTTGACGTAACCTCTGTCCAAGCATGTCCCAGACATGCTCGATGGGGGAGAGGTCGGGACTCAGTGCTGGCCAAGGTAATGTGGTGATGTTCTGTTGTTGGAGGTAACCTGTAACGATCCTGGCCCTGTGACATCTTGCGTTGTCATCCTGGAAGATGAAACGGCGGCCATGACGTCGTGCGAACGGCACAACATGGACTGCCAAGATGTTGTCCCGGTAGTACTGGCCTGTAACACGCCCTGCAACAACATGTAAAGCCGTTCTTCCAGCAACAGTGATGCCTCCCCACACCATAACAGAACCACCCCCAAATCGATCATGTCTGATGACGTTAACGTCTTGGAAGCGCTCGTTTCGACGACGCCACACCCTCCTACGTCTGTCCAAAAAATCAACAGTGAACCTTGACTCATCTGAAAACATCACATTGCTCCAGCGTCGATTATCCCAGTGTTGACGATCCCTACACCAACGACGTCTTGCCTGAATGTGATGATCTCTCAAACAAGGGATCAGGCGGGGACGTCGGGCGCGAAGGTGACCCCTATGCAGTCGATTCCGAATCGTCTGGCCACTCACTCTCACACCAGTGTCTGTTTGAAGACGAGCGCTGATCTGATTTGCTGTGATGACACGATTTCTCAAGGCCAAGGTACGGATAAATCGATCCTGGGCTTGAGTTGTCGCCCTTGGTCGACCTGAGCGTGGTCTGTCCTGTACAGATTGTGTATCACGGTATCTGGACCATAGCCTGCTTATGACAGACTGAGAAACATTCATCGTCCGCCCACAACCGCCTGTGTTGTGCCGATCTGTAGCATGCCAAGGGCACGTAACCTTTCATTTTGGGTAAGCCGACGCATATCAAAATTTGTTTTCTGGTCACTAAAACAATTAAACTGATGTTTCCACCCTGGAATTCAATGCCACAATGACTGTAACATTCAAAGTCAGAGTCGTGCAAATCTTGGGTTGGACCCCCATGATGATCCCAAGCATCACCTGCATTCCATGCGGTAGCTATTGGTGCGTTTGGGCGTCACATGTAACTGGAAATGTTTCTTCTGTTAGGTTCTATAGTGACTTTTTTCGTAGTCATTTGCATATTTTAGTATTATGCCCCCAAAATCAAATATCCCCTACTTTTTGTGAATAGTATAATATTAGTGAACAAACTTTCTCTTCAATATTTAAAGTGCACATAAGATGGGCCTGGAAACTTTGAGATACGTGTAGCCAATGGTTACTATATCCACTTTACGGCAAGTTCACACCAATCTGATAGAAATTAATTCAGCTATCTTCACTCAAAGTCGCAAAAATAGACCTCCCGTAAAAACAACTTTGCCAATTATCGAAAACACTCTTAATCCCCTCAGACACCAGTGACGTCACAGTGACCGAATGAATATTCGGAATATTTATTCCTTAATTACCTATATACAGCTGGCGTGTGTATTCATTAACGCTAGACTTACTCCTGAATCCCCTAATTAAATAAAACAATTGACTGCGAAATAATTTGCTTTGTAATTTATTTTAATTTAAGATCCTATTTAAAATTTGTTTTATAATGACCCGGCCTCTCTTCTCACGACAGCGATTTTAAAACTGTGTTTTAAAGTGACTTTTTGATAAGATCCACTCTACCATCGTGTGCAGTCCAAAAGATTTGAAATAGATTTCCGTCAGAAGAGTATTGTGGTTCTAATTTCCCCGAGTAAAAGAGTACAGAAGTAAAAGATGTGGTCATGCAAATTGAATCATTAAAGTCAAATATGACTGAAACGTGATTTCCTGTAGCCATCGTACGGCGTCTTTCTTTCTGCATGTGGATTTGACTTCATTACACTGAAATCGACCGTAAAAATGAAATACGAAAAAATATCTCAATATTATACGTTAGAATTAAGAGATTGAGAACGGTCATCTAACTATCTTTGTGTATTGATAAAGTGTACTGTCATTAATATCTATCATTAATCAATCCGACTAAAGTTGCAGACATGGGGCCATAAATTAATTTACATCTCGATGTAGATAATGATTAGCGTTGCACACACATGGGGTTATAAATTAATTTACAAGTAAAGATGTTGGATTAAGAATGCTGATTAAGAATGCTGATTAGGTTATTATTAGCCCGCCAGATCAAAGACATCACTCTACGGTAGAACGTGTTAAAACTCCACGAACGAACGACACAAGTTACAGGGGAACTTTGCAGCAAACATTTCTCCACACCACAACTAATCGTTGAATCGTACATTACTCATCAGTTGTTTATAATTATTTTTTACCCAATAATCAATTAGATTTGTTCACCGATGTTTTTGTAATAAAGTAGCCTTGTATTATTTGTTGATTGGCGTTTAGACAATATTTAATGGACTTGATACGAAATCTGAATATAAATTATTCGATAGATAAACGTTTGTGATAAGATTAGGTTATTGTCTAACATCGTTTAACTTCTTTATAAAAAAAAGTATTTAACAATTACATTCACACTTTAATAGCTCACCAATCGGCATCAGGAACTTCAGTCACGATGATCACGTGTATTTGATATTCATGTCCATGAATCCCATGCAATTGTCGCTCCAAAATTTAACGTCAGTTACTACGGCCGTAGTATGCATGGCACCCTACACGGTAATAAGATTCCCAGCGTTGATTGGCTGAGAAATGAGGGCGATCTATTGTTATGCATAGTCATTGAACAATTAAATATTCGTAGTGAATTTCAAATGGAGTTACGATATAAGTTGTTTCTGTATAGAAATGGTTATTATAATTATATATAGCCAATAATGAATATAACGACAAATTACTGGTACTATTTGTATTTCTGTGCTTATATAGAGATAGTTTGGGAAATCAAATATTATCCAAATTACCGGTAAATGGGCTAATTGCTTGGGTCGTCTTCATCTGTCACGTGATCTTTTTAAACAAAGGACGCTTAAATTGGTCTACGGCATGATAAAGCATTTTAAATTCACTCGAAAATACTCCAATCACAAAAGGTCTAATCTATAACAGTACAAGACGATAATTCGGTGATTATGATTAGGCCAGTCACGTGTTAATTGGATCGTGATGTGTATATCAGTGATATACTGTACAGTTAGTGATATATTGTGTATAGATAATGTATATACTATGTGTAGTGCCTGTGACATCACCAGCCAATCAACCCGATTAAGGTTGTAATTGAAAAATTGAAAAGCGTTTTTGCGTGTCGGATACTCAAACGTAATTGCCAAATTAATTTTAATCAGATTGGCGTGAGCTTGCTGTAAAGTGGATATAGTAACTATTGGCTACACGTAGCGAAAAAAAATTTTTGCCATCTTATGTGGTCTTTAAAAAAGGAAAAGGTAATCATAGTGAGCTTGTTCAACCATTAATTGAAGTAAAACATCATTTTGACCTAAGAGGTTTCACTTTTGTTAGATTGTTATAAAGGGAAGATACCTTTGAATATATAACTATTTCTTACAATTAATTGCTCTTTAGAGATACTCGCTGTTAAATTAACATTGTTTGTAGGGTATTACAAAAGATACATATATCTACATTTTAGAATTTTGTGTGGGAAAGGACTTGAATGTATAAAAACTGTCACAAAGCCTGTCACAGCTAAATTCTTTTATGAAGGAAATCTGAAAACTGACAAAGATCCAGTAGTGAGTGCTCAACTTAACATTCCCCAAGCTACTGTCAATGATCAGGGTATTGCCGACTTCAGTAAACAGAAAATAAAGCAGTTTGAGAGGCCATCAAAGACTAATAAAACAGAACAAGTTACATCAGAAAGGTATAGAATTGTTTTTGAAACAGAGATTACTTTGCGAAATCCTGATATTAATTTAGATTTAAAGGTAAGTAGATTTTTAAAGATTTATCAAGGGTTACAGTTATTTTTTTTTATATCATAGCCTACTTTGTAATGCACACAACTCTGTGAATTTCATAACATGTATTACGTACAACTTATGAAATATGATGAAAAATTGCATTACATATGCTGAGATTGTTTTTATACGCCCACATTTTTATGTGAACGTGGACAGTCTACAGGTCACAATTTTTATCTGATTATCTCAGTTCCTTTTGATATTGGCATTTATCGGACTGTAACTTCATGGATTATGGCCTGTGATTGTATGAAAAATCATGTTTTTAGCTTGTGGACACTAAGAGGTCACAATTTTATCCGATTTTGATGAAACTTGAAATATATGTTTATAACATGCAGATCTCAGTTCGTGTCGATATTCACACATATCTGACTGCGAATTCCTGGATTATGACCCCTTGTACGAAAAATCACGTTTTTTTTTTAGCTTGTTCTCTATCCATCTTTGAAAAATGTGGGCATATGTTGCATGGCAACCGCTGGTTAAACTACATATAAAGCATTACACAGCTTCCCAGTATTTAACATGATAAATAAATGATATTCTGTCATTTTTATACGCCCACATGGAAATGTGGTCGTATATTGCCGTCGCCCCTGTCCGTCCGTCCATCGTGCACAATTTATTGTGAACACTCTACAGACTACATTTATCATCTGATTGTTTTGAAATTGATATATGTCGTTTGCATTAGTGAGATGAAGAAGCCTATTTAATTTCAAGAACTTCTGTTAATTTCTTCTGGAGTTATGGCCCTTGTTTCACTTTGTTGCAACTTGTGAACACTCTTTACGACCAAAGTTATCAACCGATCTGTATGAAATTTATATGCATCATTTAAATTAGTAAAACAAAGAAGCAATTTTCGTTAATTACATCTAGAGTTATGGCCCTTGTTTCACTTTGTTGCACCTTGTGAACACTCTAACGACAAAAGTTATCAACCGATCTGTATGAAATTTATATGCATCATTTAAATTAGTGAAATAAAGAAGCCTATTGAATGTCAGCAATTTTTCCGTCAATTACTTCTGAGTTATGGCCCTTGTTTTACTTTGTTGAACCTTGTGAACGTTCGAGCGACAAAAGTTATCATCCGATCTGTATGAAATTTATATGCATTATTTTAGTAAAACGTAAAAGCCTGTCGAATTTCAACAATTTCTGTAGATTAGTTCCAGAGTTATGGTCCTTGTTTTAGTTTTTAGAACCTTGTGAACCCTCAAACGACGAAAATTATAATGTCATCTGTATGAAATTGTCTATTGAATTCCCCTAATTACCTACAAAAGAATAAATATGCAACAACCCTGCTGTGGGCGTATGTTTTGTTGCCTGGCAACCTATCTTATTATGAATGTAAAGCAGTGGAGACATGACTGAAATCTGCTTTCATTAAAGCTGTATTTTTTTGAATCTCATTATACAAATTATTTCTTTCTTGTAAATATATTCAGACAATGAGTCTTCCGATGGCAGTTATAACTGGTAGCAATCAAGCTAATAGTTCGCATGGTTCGTTGTTATGGTACTGTTATAATAATGATCCTGTAAGTAATTTGTTTTAATCTTGCCTTGGAATTTGTCATGGTATTGTTATAATCTTATAGTTTGTTATGGTATTGTTACAATCTTGTAATTTGCTATGCTATAGTTTTTGTAGGAATAAACTCTGCATTATTTTAACAATCATGGATAAGATAAGATATAAGGACATAGTAATGAAATGAAAACTAAACATGATCCCGTAAGAAAGAATTTGTTTTAATAACAATTCTGTAAAAAAAAAAAATACTTTAAAATACTTTGTGTGGTTATGATCCTGTAATAAATAAACCTTGTGATGAAATGATATTTTTGGATGTTATTTGACAGTATGATTTAACAGTGTCACCGAATACAGTGGTATCCAAACAAACAGTGATTAATATGATTCAAGCCTGTTTCTCATATTTAAATGGGCGAGCTCTCCGTCCTGATGAAATAGAATTTCTGTTGGAAAAAATGCTCAGTAAGTTTGTATAATGTGCTTGTGCATCAATAATAATACATGTACATTTAGAGGTAGAACAAGCCTACAGTATTCATGCTGATTTCAAATGTATGTAAATGTTAAATTAATATAAATTAAAACTTTACTTGGAGAAAGGTATTATATCTACTAACAATAAAATTATGAAAAAAATGACATTCATCTGTAAGTGTATTTAACAAAATGTATATGTAGATATTTAAAAATCCCCATGCAATAGCAGTACAAAACAAACTTAGGTAGAAGTAAGGGGTGGTTTAATCAACATAATAATGTTTTGGGTATAAATATCCTTTATCAAATGATTATTGTATATATAATTTCAGAAGACAGGGACAATGAAAATATTTCATTTGAAGACTTTATTGGTGTAAGTAAAGAATTTGTAAAGATATACTATTTTCCAACCTACTACTTTATTGTATAAAATGGGAGGTTGCATGACCAAATAGTCTAAATTGTTGGGTGACCAAATAGGGTGACCAAATAGTCTAAATTGTTGGGTGAACAGATTGTCTAAATAGTTGCCATCTGACAATTGTATGTGATAATATAGAAGCAGGGATTGAAACAGAAAAATCAATGGAAATGGAGGCTAAATCTTTGCCCATAGTCTTTCGTATTATTTTTGTCAGACCAAAAAGGTGATGGAGTGGGGGGGGGGGGTAGGCGGTGGGTGTTGATCAGAAATCAAATTATGCATGTTTGTTTCTGTCGTATTGCTGTATTTAAATAAACATTGATTCTACATGGTTTTGAAAAGTAGGATTGATTTATACACAAGCAAAATTACATCCAATCAAAGTAATAGGCATAGACAAAATAATCCTCTTGGGGAACAACATCCTTTAGATATATTCTACTGTTTGTAGGAATGATGAAGACTGCATATTACATAGTGTTTATCAGTAGAATAAAGAATCTTGTTCTTATGTTTACTTTTTGTCATTACAGAAGTCTAGTCCAAATAGTAATGAACCCACGTTTTGGAAATGGCTCCAGTCAATATTAAACTTGATTGAACATTACTTGAAGTTGCCATGGCTAAATGGGTAAAACTTTTATTACACATACCATTTGATTCAATATATCAGAACATCTTCCCAGACAGAGTAACATCTACCATAGTGACATTGTGTTTGCCATGATTTTATGGCTTCCTTACAAGTTTTGTACAAAACATTTTACATTCTCAGGAGCATATACACCTGGGACAGACGCACAGAACTAAATTCTGCTTGCATCTTGTCATTCAACCCACTAAGAGAGACAAATAATATTATCTATAGAGTGGCTGCCAGTTCATACTGAAATCTATAATACTTAAATCTACTCACAACTGATATGTAATCGGAACAGGCATACAGTACTCCATGCCACTTGATTTACAAGATGATCATTTTGAGCATCCGCTTGATAAACAACCACAGCATGATTAGAGTTGTGGTTATGGTTTCAAACCCTGGTAAAACATCATCTAACTAATAAATTAGTATTAAATATTTTAATTTCTATTTTCAGAATAATACATGGCTTTGTGTCAAAAGAACGGTGCAAGAGTCTTCTGTGTACTGAATCTCCAGGAACCTTTCTGCTAAGATTTTCGGAGACTGTTGTTGAAGGGGATGGTCAAAATAAGAATCTGACTGGTGCACTTGTTGTAGCCATAACTCTTGTTAAAGGTAATTACAAGCACATATCTTTCATTATCTATCCTATTGCTTTGCTACGATTTCTGTAATAAATCTTCTGTCCGTCCATCTATAAACCAGCTATTTAGTACAATACTACCCTGAAAACATTTTATTTATTTGCCAGTCAGTAAACAACACAAACACGGGCTACTTTAAGATTGGGCGCTCTCACAATTATTCCGTCTGTTTGCATGTGCTTGCGTTTTTTAGCTTGTGGCACATTTTATATGTGAATAGGGGACATGTCAAATGCATCTAAATTGACCATTTGCTGGGAAGTTAATGTCATTGATCTATTTATAACTCTATGCAGCCGACCAATTTATGACGTAATTCGTATACCAAAATTGTTTTTATGATGTCAGAGAGCATCGTAGTTTCAATTTACCAGTCACAATGTGCTTTGATTCATTCTTGACTTGTTCTTACGTAATTTTCTAGGAACCAGGCTCTGACAGCAGGGAATTATTAAAATGGGCTCATCCATCTATCAGTCACATTTTTTGGGACACAATAACTCTCCTTCTAATCGAGGTAGAATGTTCAAATTGGTGTAGGTGTTTATTAGGTGACTGCCCTGATGGAGTTCGAAGATGAGCATTTTCTGCTCAGGCTAATAAGAGATAAGCAATTTGATTGGTTGATGCTTTATATTAGGACATGCTAATTTGGTGTTTTTTCGTCACTAGCTCTTGGTCTATTAGGACATGCTAACTTGGTGTATAGTTTCATTACATCAATACCTTGAATAAGTTTGATAAAAAGCATTTTCTGCTCAGGGTAAGCAGAGCGATAAGCAGTTTGGTTGGTTGATACTTTGGAACACAATAACTCTTCTTCTAATTGAGGAAGAGTGTTGACACTTGACGTAGGTGTTTATTAGGTGGATGCCTTGATGGAGTTCGAAGATGAACATTTTCAGCTTAGGCTAAGCAAGGATAAGGAATTTGATTGGTTGTTGTTTTGGGACATGATAACTTTAGTTCTAATTAAAAGCGTGAGTGATGAAACTTGTCAGTATAGTTGCATTACATCAATACCTTGAATAAGTTCGATAATGAGCATTTTCTGCTCAATAATTTTGATTCAAATTAAGTGAGAGTGGTGAAACTTTGTGTATAGTTTCATTATATCAATACCTTGAACAAGTTCGATGATGAGCATTTTCTCCTTGGACTAAGTAGAGACTTCGATCTGATTGGTTGAGATTTTGGAAAACAAAAACTCTCCTTCTAATTGAGGTAGAATGTTCAAAATTGGTGTCAGGGACTATTGGATGAAGAATCATATAAGGCTAAGCAGAGATAAGAAATTTGATTGGTTAAGGTTTGGATTAACTTTGGAACATGATAACTTTGGTTCTAATTAGATGAGAGTGATGAAGAGTATAGACTCGTTATATAAATACATTGACTAAGTTCGGTGATGAGAATTTTCTGCTTAGGCTATGTAGTGATAAGAAATGAAATGAAATGGGGTTTAACGTCCTACTGTTCTGCTCTGACCAAGTTTGATGAAAATTTTCTGCTTAGGCTAAGGAGCGATAAGCTATTTGATTGGTTAAGACTTTGGAACATAACAACTCTGCTTTTAATTGAGGTAGAATATTTAAAGTTGGTGCAGATGTTGATTAGTCTGAATTGATGATTAACATATTGAGCTAAAGCTAAGCAATTTCATTCATCCACATTTTGGGACAAGATCACTTTTATTCTAACTTATGGAGAGTGATGAAACTTGGCGTATAGTTTCACTACCAGGTAGGCCTACAGTACTTCAAAAACCTTGACTCAGTTTGATCGTGAATATTTTCTGCTTTATCTAAGTAGAGATAATCAGTTTGATTACTGGATACTTTTTAAAAAGTTAAATGTACAATTAATTAATATGTGTCATCTATTTATTTTGGGATTTCGGCAGGCGACATCAGCCTCACTGTTGGCTTGTTTTTGTTTTTTTTAAGCGGTTGATTCAAAACATTTGGTGACCTTCACACGACCTTTGACTGTGGTTAATTATTTTTCCAAATATTCCTTCAAAGACATCCTGTCAGGTATAACAGGAGAAAATACAAAGAAAAGAGAAACTTTGTTAAAGAAAGTATATGAGAAAAATGTAACCATGCCAGAAATCAAGAAAACATACACCAGTAATACTTCTAGTAAGATTTTAATCTATATATTACTTTCCTTGACAACCACGCCAAATGCTGACATTAAAATCTAGTTGTATCTTCTTGTCACGTATGCCTTATTCTCCACTGGTCCAGTATCAATAAATGTATCAGCGTAAGAAAGAACCCTATTGAAAATAGGCACATGTTAGCGATTATTTATGAAGTTATTGTCCTTGTTTTGAAAACCTTGTAAACTAAATGGAGAGAAAATATAAGAGATAAGGTGGCTATGAAGACCTGGTTATCCCGAATGTCAGTGACTAGTTTCGTTCGTATTGAACTCTTCAGACTGATGGAACTCACGTGTTGGGCGTTTTTATTTATACTATTCCGAAACCCCGGTGGGGTTTGCGAATTTGTTACCTGGGTCGGTAGCTCGCTTACCGGGGTTGTTACCGGACTGTAACTTCATGGATTATGGCCCCTGATTGTACGAAAAATCACTTCTTAGCTTGTGAACACTGTAGAGGACACAATTTTTATCCGATTTTGTTGAAACTTGAAATATAAGTTTATAACACAAAGATCTCGGTTCCTTTCGATATTTGCGCATATCAATTGTAATTTCCTGAATTATGGCCCTTGATTGAAGGAAAAATCACTTTCTTTTTAGCTTGTTCTCTATCCATCTCTCGAAAATGTGGGCATATCCTGCCTGGCAGCCGCTGGTTTATTCTTGATGTCACAATCGCATCAGTAAAAGATTTAACCCTACCATAATTTGAGTTATTGCCTTTGCTTTTGAAACTCGTTAGAAAGAAACTTTATTCAGTGATTGTTATGGCATAAGCAATTAATGAATTACTTTTATCACATAAATTAGACGGTAGATATATTTACATTCATTCTTTAAAGGAGCCGATACTCGTACTATTTCTGTGTTCACTAACTTTAGTTTGAATTTTGTTTTGCTCAGCAATCAAACACAAAATTGGTTATATCTCAATTTTTAAAAAAAGACAAATTACCATCCCTCAAAATATATTCACATAAAAAATCCAGTGACATGGACAATTTTATCCAAATCATTTTGAAATAGCCTACATGTAAGTATAAATGTTGATGTTTTACTTCATTTCAGAACAACAAGAACAAGATCAAAACTATCCAGATTGGATTCAGCAAACTATTCAGACTCTTAGGTGAGTATATTTTGAAATATTTTATTCTGAGAGGGAAAAGATCTGAATTAAAGTCAGGAGCTGTGAGATTTTTGGGAATGTTTTTGGTAATTGTTTATAGACTAAAGGATGTTCTATTTGAACAGGTGAAGGGTGTAGGTTATCGTTTCTGCTCTTTACTACCAGAATGTACTTATGGTTATGCCCGTCACTTTTACATTCTGTTTATGTTTTTAAAGAAATGTTTCAATTGGTGATGATGGAGATGATAGCAGTGATGAAGAAGTAAGAAAAAGAAAAGTACCAAGAAGAATATCAGATATGACAGATTCTTCCATAGATGTAGATATGCAAAGTGATGCAAGCCAGTCTTCTGTAACATTGTGTAATGTTTATGTGAGTCTTTTAGCTGTATTTTTCTACTTTGACTAAAAAAATTGGGTATAATGTCACCCACATCTATCTGTCCATTCATTTCAGTGTTAAATTAAAATATGCAGTTCACAATTTTTGTAGATAAGTAAGCTGCATGAAGTTGTTAAGTGATTTAGTGATGGAGATATTGTCCTTTCTTTCAAAATACTTTTTATACGCCCACATTGAAATGTTGTCTATATTGCTGTCACCCCTGGCTGTGCGGTGTTCACAATTGCTTATAGATGCTCTAGGGGCCAAAGTTAATATCCAATTGACTTTAAATTTATACACAGTGTTTAAGTTCACAAAGACGTCTTTTTATTTGCAACAATTGTTGATAATTACTGTCCGAGTTATGGCCCTTGATCACTTTGAAAAATCTTGTTGACGCTTTAGGGGCTAAAGTTACTAGACTTTAAATTGATACACAGTGTTGTGCATTAATCAGTACTTGTTTTTGAGACTGACAAGATCTGTTGAATTAATTGATTAGTACAGCCGTGAAAAAGTGTTGAATTGTCAAAAATAAAACCAAATTTATGTTTATGTTTCAGAGTACAGAAAATATTCCAGCTTTCCAAACTCCAGTGCCATTTGACAGAAATGCAGCCAATAATTTGATTAAGAAAAAATTTGGTAGTTGGCCTGACTCTACTAACATTCCATCTACGGTTGAAGACTTCGTCTCCGGTGGAGATGATGGCGATGGACACTACAATTCCCCAACTACCATATCACAAACATTTTTTGGATTATCAACTGATTCATCCAATCTCAGCAGTGCTGATCTGACATATGAAGATTTAAGTGTGCTGTCACATAGTTACAACCTCCATGATCCAACATCCCCCCAGGATTATCCAGTTTCCACTCCCATCATGACAACTATTCAGAATAGTAACTCGTCAACTGTAATGTCACCAGGTCAGATTTATAACTCACCTGCTACAATGGTACATGGTCAAAAATATAACTCACCTGCTACAATGGTACATGGTCAAAAATATAACTCACCTGCTACAATGTCACCAAGTCAGAATTATAATTCACCCACTTCTCAGAATTACAATTCAGGTATTGTAATGTCACCGGGTCAGAATTACAATTCACCCACTATGTCACCTACAGAGAATTATAATTCACCCACTGTAATGTCACAGGATCAGACTTATAATCCCCCCACTGTAACATCACCTACTCAGAATTATAATCCCCCCACTGTAATGTCACCTCCTCAGAATTTTAATGTTTCCACTGCAAGTCAGAATTATAATTTCTCCATATCCACTGCAGTGTCACCTTCTCAAAATTTTGATCCAGTGATGGACCCAAATTATAATTTTACCGATTCTTTAGCTGATGATGCACAATTGTTACCCCCATTTTAGAATCTAAAGCCTTGTTTACACTTGGTCGCGATAAGCGTGCCGTTCTGGGCACAGTACCAGGCCACGATAAATTTCAAGAAATTGACCCAATTACATTACTCTAAAATAACCGGTCTCAGAACCGTGCCAACCACTCTAAATGTAAAACTCTTCACAGAAAAGTTAATTTCAGTCCCATACAAATTACCCAGATGAAAAAAATTATGATGGTTGATTTAGTTTGAGCAGCCATTTTGACAGAACTGATGACAGCGCTGTCAAAGTTTTCGGGGAAAAAAGGTCAAGGTTCATTTGGCGCATGCGCAGTAATCCGTGCTCAGACCTGTTAGTGTTTACGCTAAGAAAATTTAAAGCGAGCTGGTCCTGGTACCTCACTTCAGTGGGCCAGATTGGCACCGTACCAGGCGTGGCACGCTTACATTTGACCCGTTTACACTACAAAAAACGGGTTTTAAGTGCAGTTGTTTCATGAATCATTTTGATGTGGTCCCGTCATTCACAATAGATTAATCAAATATAAGCTTGGTAGTGGATTTAACTACCGTTTTGAATATTGTTCAGACCAGTGATGGGATTTTACCCGTATATTCCGGACTTGTCCGAATCTTTTTTCGAAACGCCCAAAATTGTCCGCCCGGGAATATGCCCAATCGGACATGAAGACATGCTGAATAATATTCAAATTCCAAAATTAATATAGTGTACTGAGTGTATAACTACCGTGCAACCCGATTATCGTTGATAATAGGCTGGATTGATTAGGTAATTAAGTGATCGACTATTTATCGTGTTATATCGTCTTACACACCTACCTTGATTATTCTGCCTTGATTGGCTGAACTAATTCTTTATCGGACAATTCATCAAATCAATCCTGAACAGAAGTCATTGCTTCTCCTTTGTCGGACGATATATCAATCCAATAAGAGTGATTAGAAACATAATCTGATTAACCCGTGATTTCTCCATTGACCATTGTCTCACGTTTTAATCTCCTTTGTGTCGGACAATAACACGTAGAAATTAGTCATATATGTCACATATCCTGATAGTATATAACACCTCAAATCAACATACATTGTATCCGATAACTTGTCTGTGATATATTTTCGGTGGAAGCCGAAGTTAATTAAAGATATTTCACACACATGGCGCTTATAGAGTTCAGTAATTAAAATGAAAGTACAAATCTCGTGAGACACGTGAAATTAAGAGATGTATACGTGCTGGAATGACGTAAGTAGTTGATTGTTTTAGACGATAGCGCGTGCTACAGTCGAATGCAATTATTTAGAAGTTGGTTACACTCGCTCATTAGGGCGTCGTTAACTACGGTTTACGGCCAAATAAATTTCGGGATGTCATTTTTTTACCTTCCGTATATAAATCGAAACGGAGTATCAGACGAATGTCGGACTTTGCTGAAAAATGTACCGACGTATGACCCGAAAAATACGGTAATTTTGGGAGAGTTTGAAACAGATCGGCAGCAGTCGGCACGCTGCCAATTCTATAGTATTACGATCATACGATGTCATGTAATTTTGTAGGAATATTATTGACATAAATTTGAATACCGTACGGGTTTTAAACATGAAATATAACGAGGTGCACCTATTTTTTTTTTACATATGAATTTGAATATATTTTGTTGACACATGATTCTTAATTGTGTTTTGAAAACGTCTGCTTAAATTACGGTAAGAGTTATGCCCCTTTATTTTCGGGAAAAAATGTCCGACATGAAATTTTTTGAAATCCCATCACTGGTTCAGACTTCAGACTATCATTGGATCTTCATATGTGATGGAATTAAAATGTTTGAATTAAAGCATATTAATTTTTGAATTTTGTGACTTTCATTTATGCATTGTTTTATGGTATTACATATACTGGTAGTGTCCCGGTATATCTTGTTTTGAGGCATTTAATATAAAAAGTAATCAATTATATTGTGATTAAGATTTTAATTACAGACAATACAATTGGTTTTGAAATCACTTTTTGCTTTTGTTTACTTTTGTCAAAGGGTTATGTGATTAAAAGAAAGAATAAAATTTATAATTGCTCTAAAAAGTGGAAAATAAAATTGAATATTACAAGACAAGAGTGAAGAGAATTTAAATGGAATTATTATTTTATTATTATACGCCCACATTTTCATATGGACGTATATTGTGGTCGCCCCTGTCCGTCCGGACGTCAGTCCATCCGTCCACAATTGTTTGTGGACACTCTACAGGTCACAATTCTTATCCGATTTTGACGAAACTTGAAATATAGGTTTATCTCCAAAAGATCTCGGTAGCTTTCGATATTGGCATGTATCGGATCGAAACTTCATGGATTATGGCCCCTGTTTGTACGAAAAATCACGTTTTTAGCTTGTGGACCCTATAGAGGTCACAATTTTTATCCGATTTTGTTGAAACTTGAAATGTAAGTTTATAACCCAAAGATATTCGCGGATATCGGACCGCAACTTCCTGAATTATGGCCCCATATTGTATGAAAAATCACGTTTTTAGCTTGTGGACCCTATAGGTCATAATTTTTATCTGATTTAAAAAAACGTATTATTATATCACCGTTACACCCTACGGATGACCGAGTTCGAATTTCGTGAAAATCGAGCCAAAATTGACAGACAAAATGGCCGCCGTTCTTTCTCAAATAGCGTAAAAATATGGTATATCAAGGTTGTGGACCCTATAGAGGTCACAATTTTTATACGCCCACATTTTCATGTGGACGTATATTGTCGTCGCCCCTGTCCGTCCGGACGTCCGTCCGTCCACAATTTGTTTGTGGACACTCTACAGGTCACAATTCTTATCCGATTTTGACGAAACTTGAAATATAGGTTTATCTCCAAAAGATCTTGGCTGCTTTCGATATTGGCATGTATTGGATCGAAACTTCATGGATTATGGCCCCTGTTTGTACAAAAAATCACGTTTTTAGCTTGTGGACACTATAGAGGTCACAATTTTTATCCGATTTTGTTGAAACTTGAAATGTAAGTTGATAACCCAAAGATCTCGGTTCCTTTCGATATTCGCGCATATCGCACCGTAACTTCCTGAATTATGACCCCAGATTGTACAAAAAAATCACGTTTTTAGCTTGTGGAACCCTATAGAGGTCATAATTTTTATCCGATTTAAAACAACGTATTATTATATCACCGTTACACCCTAAAAACAGCTGAGTTCAAATTTCGTGAAAATCGGCCCAAAATTGACAGACAAAATGGCCGCCGTTCGTTATCAAATAGCGTAAAAATATGGTATATCAAGGTTGTGGACCCTATAGAGGTCACAATTTTAATCCGATTTTGTTGAAACTTGAAATGTAAGTTTATAACCCAAAGATCTCAGTTCCTTTCGATATCTGCACATATCGAATTGTAATTTCCTGAATTATGACCCTTGATTGTAGGAAAAATCACTTTCTCTTTAGCTTGTTCTCTATCCATCTCTCGAAAATGTGGGCAAATGTGGGCAAATGTGGGCGTATCCTGCCTGGCATCCGCTGGTTGTTATATTATGAGTATAATCTGATTAAAATCAGATGTCAGTTTCGTTTACATCTAATGTGTGTAATACATATTTGTTCAGATCACTTGAAGAATTTGCCATTGCATGCATGTATTTAATGAGCGGGACTAATGACAGTAGAACATTGATATAGTGATACTGATATACAAGTAATAAATAAATATTCAAATGTGTACTAGCAAATTAGAAACGTCCATTTCCATCACACATAAATTGGCAGACTCTTTTACATTAGGGCTATGGAATACGCAATCATGTCGAAATAAAACAACTGAAATTTTTGACCTCATCACTGAAGATGATCCAGATATGCTAGTCATCACTGAATCTTGGCTTAAACCCAATGGCGATGAACACCATATAACAGCCATGACACCCCCGTCCCATTCATTTGTGCACCTTGCAAGATCCCACACCACTGGTGGAGGAATCGCAGTTAATTTACAGACGTTCTATTATTGTTGAAGTTCTCTCAAACAAGTTTGAAGCTAAAACGTTTGAACAGCTACCTTTAAGAGTTACAGCTTCTAGCAAGTGTTTTATAGTAGTTTGCATTTATAGGCCGCCCCCATCGGCAAAGAATAAACTTTCATCGTCTGATTTTTACCAGGAATTTGCAATTTTGTTGTCCTCATACTCAAAACCGAATACCATAATTCTTGGTGATTTTAACATACAGATAAATAACACAATAAAGTCGGATGTCAAAAGATATGTGTCCCTCATTGACTGTAAAGGTTATAATCAGCATGTTATGGAACCAACTCATAAATCTGGTAATACTCTTGATTGGGTAGTCGCGCCAAATGACTCTGACCTTGTCAAGGAAGTACATGTAGAAAATAGACAAATTTCTGACCATTATTACATTACAGCAATATTAAAATTGTCTAGACCTCAAAACCTTAAAAAGGAAATTATTTGCAGAAACATTAAAGCCATTGACTGGAGTACATTTCGAGTTGATATTTCAAATTCAAAATTACTTTTGGATCCAATGAGTGATGTCAATGCTCAAGTTAATCTGTATAATAATACTCTTTCTGCATTACTTGACAAACATGACCCAGCAACAAACAAAACTGTGACTGTACGGAACAGCGCTCCCTGGTACAATAATGAAGTCAAACAATCAAAAATACTTACGTCATCGAGCTGCGCGTAAATTTAGGAAGACCCATTCAGAAATCCACCGCCAGATCTACTGTAAAGCTAAAAGTGACCATCTAAAGATCATTAGTAAATCTAAGCAAAAGTATTGTCGAACATATATTCAAAACTGCAACAACGATCCTGGTAAAGTCCATAGATTTTTGAAATCCCTTCTTGGTAAAAAAACCAGATCTAAAACTTCCAAGTTCAGACAATAACAAAAGTCTAGCTGACTCGTTCAATGATTTCTTTATCAACAAAATCGAGAAGATTCGCAGTGGACTAAATTCATCTACAGATTCTGAAAATACCCAAACAACTTTATTTGGCGGACATAAATTATGCAGTTTCAAACCCTTTAGTAAAGAGGAAATCAAAAACATCATCATGGCATCAAAACCTACATGTTTATCAGATCCAATCCCAACACACCTTGTCCTTCAACTTATTGATCAACTTCTCCCATTCTTCACTCAATTAATCAACAACAGTTTAACAACTGGTACATTTCCTGACTGTTTTAAATCGGCTATTGTCCTTCCACTCCTAAAGAAAGACAACCTGGATAAAAACATCATGAAAAATTATCGTCCTGTCTCAAACTTGCCGTTCCTGTCAAAGATTATTGAAAAAGCTGTCAATATTCGTCTAAATGAACATCTTGCTGCAAATTCCTTGTTGAATGTTTTCCAAGTCTGTTCAAGTCATATCTTCAAAACCGCAGCCAGTCTGTTCTCATTGGTACCGACTTATCAGAGAGAACATCTCTAGCCTGTGGAGTTCCACAAGGATCTGTATTAGGTCCGGTACTTTTCGTCCTTTACACCAACCAACTGTCTGATATAATTAGTAATCATGGTTTTAATCATCACTCTTATGCCGACGACACCCAGATTATTGGTACTTTTTAGGCAGATTGTTATGTTGATTTCTACCAACGGACCTCAGCTTGCACTACACAGATCAAGTCATGGATGACATCTAATATGCTAAAGTTAAATGATGACAAGACGGAGGTTTTATTTGTGGGAACAAATAAAAATTTATCAAACCTAGACTCTACTACTTTAACGATTGCCGATTCGGACATTCAGGCGCTGACCAATGTTAAAAACTTAGGAGTAATGCTCGATTCAGCCCTATCAATGGAAACACATATCAACTACATTTGCAAAGTATGTTACTTCCATCTACGCGCCATTGGAAATATCCGGCATCTTCTGACAAATGAAACAGCCCATACTCTCGTTCGATCTCTAGTGTTCTCTAGGTTAGACTATTGTAATGGTGTTTTAAGTGGTCTGAACCAATTATTAATGTCAAAATTACAAGCTGTTCAAAACACCGCCGCGAGAATAATAAGTAAAACATCAAGACGCTCTCATATAACACCTATTCTGAAGGAACTTCACTGGTTGCCAGTACATTCCAGAATTACGTTCAAAATCTTGTGTCTTGTGTTTAAATGCTTAAATGGATCCAGCCCAGAATATCTGACTGAACTTTTGCAAGTTTATGAACCAGTAAGAAATCTTCGTTCCCAAGAACAGAGCCTTTTACATATACCGAAATTCAAATTGCAATCCTTTGGTTATAAATCTTTTAGATGTTATGCACCAATCGTATGGAATTCCCTACCACACAGCATTAAAACGTCAAGTTTTCTCGAATTGTTTAAGACACAATTGAAAACTCATTTATTTAATCTAGAATATGAGTGATCAAGCTACTAGTGTAAATAGTGTACAGTGTACAGAGTGTCATGACTGCGCCTTGAGCATGTAATTTTGGATGGAATTGGCGCTATATAAATATACATTATTATTATAATAGTTGTCAAATGCATAGGCGTATTTTCGGGCAATGAAAAATTCGACGACCTTTTTTTTCTATTAACGTTTAGAGAAAAAATATAACTAACTTATTTCTATGAGATCCACACTGCCCGAAAAGTATTTTCTCGTCTTTTTCTTGTCCACTGCCCGAAAATATGCCCGAAGCTCTCTTATGATAGGTATGCCCGAAAAAACGGTATTGCCCGAAAAACGGGCATCGGTCCGGAAAGCGGCAGAGGAAACTAGCAGTAAAACGCGTTTGCGACCGTCAAATATTCCAAAATTTTCTTGGCGGGTCATTCGCCTCTCAAAGAAAACCGGCGCCGCTGTCTATAAATCCGAAATTTTTCGGGCATTTCTAGTTTTGCTTCCCCAACTGTCATCGAGCCCTAATAAAACACTAATTTTACTTTTCTTGTAATTGAATATCACGAATTTTTACTGAATTGACTATGGATTAAAACATTTTGTCTGGAGCCACTCTACTTTGTGCGACATTTTTCAGGCATCGATTATTATTTGTGAATGCAGATGCAACAGTCTGATTGGATGGTTAGAATTCAGAGTGGGATTTCAGTTACAAAACCATTGGATACTTTTGGAGTTGCTTACACGGGCTAGAATAGCAGAAAACGCATTTACGGTGATTAAATTTTCAAATTTTTCTCGTGGGGGGGTGAGGCCTCCATATACCGCGCGACGATTGATTGGTTGTTTGGAATTCGGGTCAGCCAGGTAGGCTATGTTGGACCAAATTGAAGTTGCTGTATTCACAGACTGGAATAACAGGAAAACGCGTTTGCGGCAGTTACATTTTCAAAATTTTCTCCCAACGGTCCCGTCTTCGTTGACTGTAAACGATTGATTGGAATTCGAGTCAGCCACCTTAATAAGGCTATAATATATATTCGACCACTTTGAAGTTGCTTTGTTCACCGGCTGAAATAGCAGGAAAACGCGTTTGCGACAGTTAAATTTTCAAAATTTTCTCCTAACGGTCCCGTCTTCGAGGACTGTAAACGATTGATTGGAATTCCGAGTCAGCCACCTTAATTAGGCTATATTAGACCGCTTGAAGTTGCTTTGTTCACTGGCTGAAATATCGGGAAAACGCGTTTGCGGCAGTTAAATTTTCAAAATTTACTCCTAACGGTCCCGTCTTCGAGGACTGTAAACGATTGATTGGAATTCCGAGTCAGCCACCTTAATTAGGCTATATTAGACCACTTTGAAGTTGCTTTGTTCAACGGCTGCAATAGCAGGAAAACGTGTTTGCAGCCGTCAAATATTCCAAAAATCGTCTTTGGGGGGGGGGGGGGTATACAAGGTCGCTGCTGTCTGTAAACCCGAAATTTTTTCGGGCATTTCGGGTTCTGCCCCCCTAACTGTCATCGAGCCCCTACGCCTATGGTCAAATGGATGCTATTTCAAGATCTAATCTTGTGAAAGATATCAATTACCGTAGATCTTAGTTTCTGATATTGGGTGTGTGTCAAGTGTTAAATTCTGACGAGACTGTTGATCATGGTTGATTCAATTCAGGTATTTGCTGCTGTCATAAAAAAGGTGCATCTTTCAAAATGAAATGAAATGAGGTTTAACATTTTACTGTTCTGCTCCGAACTGGGCTAATGAAGACGGGCATACGCCATACAGTGTGCTATGAGGGAAAATTTGCCCGGACGCGACACTACGGCCTACTCTTATATCGAATTCCAACTGTCAAGGGATCTTTTACGTGCACGCCAATGTATACACGGGACATCAGTGTACACAAGACCTCGTTTTTTTGTCCTGTCCGAACAATTAGACAGCTGTCCTTATCAGGCCCTCTGTTCTGCATCACTGACAAGGGGGAACCACGCCAGGAAATCTCGATGAATTTTCTCGGCCAATTCAGGTATCGAACACCTGACCTCCAGGCTAGCGAGCCAGCGTCTTACCCACTTAGCCACCGTGATCCCCGTGCATCTTACATATGGAATCTTCATTTATCTCCAGACCACTCTTAGAAACTTCTACTGCAACCTTTACACTCAAAAATATGTTAATTGACCAATAAATTGCATCTGGTTGAAAGTGTCATTGATGCATTATGTAAGATTTAAATAAAGAGCTGACCGTTCTTGCTATAATAGTTCAAAAACCGAATTTGATTATATTAAAAATTTCATTTGGATTATCGG